CGGAAATCCAACTCGGAGAAAAATTTATGGAGTGACTAATTCTAGGACGAAAAGTAGGCTTATAAAAAGTAATACGTGAAATTGCAGGAAAATGAAGAATAGAATATACTCTACCCCCATGTTATACATATGATTTTTCCGTCTCCTTTAAATAAAAATTCATTTCCAAATAATTTATTGATGAAAGTAACAAAGATGTAGGTATACAGTATAACTTATGGGCACGTTATTTTCACTCTTGCATCCTACATATTTTCAATTTGTGGTAGAGTAATAATTATACAAGGTGTTTCTAAAATAGGTGGTCAAACTTTGGGAGTATATAGTGTGAGTTAAATAATTACGAAAACCTTGGTAACATTTTTTTCTGAAGTGCCCCCCAAGAAAGATACAGCCCCTCAAAGGGGGGTCTCGGAGAATGATTTTGTACTATTATCTTCAACACCTTGTATGATGAAAATCTAAAATTTTGTTTATCCACTAACTATTCAGTGCCGGTTCGAATGGAGTTAAAATCACCTCAAAATTAAATACAGGAGTGTGTCAAAATAGGGAGGTAGGAGGTAAAAATAACCCCAACTTTTCAAAATTGGTTTGTAAGGGTTTTTGGGGTTGGAAATTTTGAATTCGTTGTCGGAATTCATGAATTAAAAATAGACGACGAGTTTCGTGATTATGGTCTGATCCTATTGAAAATACTAAAATAAAAAATTTTGTTAAAAACGACCTTTTTTTAAATTTTATTCGCTAATAGTTCATTTTATCGAGATGCAACAAGAGCACCTTTTCTATGTAAATAGCCCTGAGATTTCATAATTTCATGTCAAAAAACTGAAATTGCGATGAACAAAAAAGTTGGGGTTATTTTTACCCCCTACCTCCCTATTTTTACACACCCCCGTATTTTATTTTGAGGTGATTTCAACTCCATTCGAACCGGCACTGAATAGTAAGTGGATGGACAAAATTTCAGATTTTCATTATACAAGGTGTTGGAGATAATAATACAAAATCATTCTCCGAGGCCCCCCTTTGAGGGGCTGTATCTTTCTTGGGGGTCACTTCAGAAAAAAATGTTACGGAGGTTTTCGTAACTATTTCACCCACTTTATATGCTCCCAAAGTTTGACCACCTATTTTAGAAACACCTTGTATAAACTAATGTTGAAAGTGAAGTTTTGAGCAGTGGTTATTTGAATACCACTAGAAGTGAGTTCTGGAGCAAATGCATGTTTAGTGATACTTTCATAAAAAACTTCAGTTACCCACAATTTGGTTCGAAATATTTTGCTATTTTGTGAGAGATTGCTGCACATACTTTCAGCGATATTCGTAGACTTCCAAGCAAGAATGTCTCCTCCAGAAGTTGCATGTAAACTTGCCGAGGTTCTTCATATGATCTTCCTCAACAAGTAAATACCCTGTACATGTCTGTTATTAATATTTTGCTTGCAAAACAAGAAACTCCGACTTTGACTATGTTTACACTGTAACTCTGCATTCTAGCATCTGACATGCATTAAGTTGGAGCAGATACGATGGCAGTGACCGTATGAGACGACTCTGAAGGGTATATAACGAGTGCAACAGGAAAATGGGGATACATCGACTTCATCGTTGTGCATACTATATCTCTCTATCCTATCATCTCACATGGACACTATTGAAGCAAACAAGTTCGCAATGACCATATGAGACGACTCCCGAGCAGGTATAACGCACACAGCATGCAGAACAAGGAACTTCGACTATGTTTACACTGTAACTCTGCAGTCTAGCATCTGACATGCATACAGTTGGAGCAGATACGATGGCAGTGACCGTATAAGACGACTTTGCAGGGTATATAATGAGTACAATAGGCAAATGAAGATACGTCGACTTCATCGTTGTGCACACTATATATCTCTATCCTATCATCTCACATTGACACCCTTGAAGTAGACAAGTTTGCATTGACCATATAATGATTTTCTGTAGTGCCCATGGACGTGACCTGACAGCAATGTCAGGGATGCCAGTAGACAAAACTAAAGTCTCTATATCATTAAAAAAGAATGCTGCTATGATCTGTCCGTACCCTGTTAAGATGACTTCAACGTCAATTTCCATCAAGGGACCCTTATAATCATCACATTCATTTGGGTTCCAACGATCCAGCTACTTCTAGTTTCATATGACAGAATACAATGTTCGCTCTCCAACGACCTGTCAAATGACGTAATTCTGGAATGATTAATGGGATTCGCTATAAGGAACTATAATCCCAATGAGCTTAGGTTAAAAATTAGTTTGTTGTTCATCTTAGAGTCACTGGATGGCATTATTTAGATGAGAGTTCGGACACAGATGAACTTCTGTCCATTTCTATTTTCCATATTACAATGGTTTGAGTGAATAAAAGAATAAGACACATATTCTGCTCTTTGTCTTTTCTATTTCCCTAGTAGCGCCTGATTGTCAGATACGATTTTAGATTTTCTCTCAAATCATTCTTTGTCGTAGATGGAAAATTGATATAGGGTATAAACACCCACTTCAATTTGTATAGCGATACACTTTTCGCAGAAAAATAGTTATAAAATTGAAAAGAATTCATTTAACAACATTTTAATATGACAAAATAGACACAGCTAGTTTCTTTATTGCATGTAAAACTGTACCCAAGTGATTAAGTATAAAACATGAAGATTGTTTAGATTTTCCTCCTTCTGCTGCATTCACTTTACTGATACATTTCCATTCAATGATATTATATCACGTTGCAATTCACTTGATTTCCTCAGATTCGTTCTCAAATTTCCTATTTCATTAAGTTTTTCCATCAATTCCTCTAATTTTGTTTTGCATTTCATGTGATGATAATATTGGATTTTTTTTTGAATAGCCTGTTTTGTAAATCAAGGGAACAACGGATCTCATAAATCTCCTGTTTGGAAATGTGCCAAAAATATAGTTTCATTCCAATCTGCTGTTATAAGATGTGAATTTTAATGTATGTACAGTGTGTCCAGTTTTCGATGCTTTTGCATGATATCTCAGTTATCTTTGGAGATAGAACCTTGCGGTTTTCGCTGTCCTGTGCCACTTTTTTGTGAAACTCAAGATGACCTCATCAGATTTTGCAGGACTGTTTCCGTTTATGAGATACAGGGCGATTTTGAAAATTTATACTTTTTGGACCCTCTCTATATCTACGAAGTTTATCAGCGAAAATGTCGAATTAAAATCTTGACCCACAGAGAATGTTATGCAGAATCCAGTGGCGCACAAAATTTTTTTTTCGGGGTATGGTTTCGAAGATACGACTAAAACTTATGATTTCTTAAATTGTACACCCTGTATTTTATAAGCTCTTTAAATTTCTATTTTTTTTCCCTTCGAAATGATATATGATTTATGAATATAAAATTTTCAAAAATGTTCAAAAATCACTAAAACATTGAATTTTAATAATGGGCCATGGGTTTTTCGAGGGATTTTCATACAAAGAAATTCACAATTGAAGGAAGATTTCCTTCGATTATTTCATGAAGGGGGTAATAACAATTTCAACACTAATTAACTTGCAAAACACAAGACTTAGATACCTGATATCCACAAATATATAGCAATAAAAAGTTGATAATGTAGAATAAGCACCTGATTAAATATTTTCTAAAACAATTGAATATCGAAATTATTCAGTAATTTATTCATTGAATTGTTCAAATTGATGTCCATTTTCCCTCACAAACTTTCTCAATACAAATTAATCATTGAATGATGTCTTTGTTATTCCTGAAAAACTGCCTCTGTTATTGCACAAAGTTCTTCAAGTATGTTGGGCCACTCACTGTATTAAGAAGTATTGAGAAAGTTTATCAACTGTATGTTAGGGAAAATGGGAATCAATTTGAACATGTCAATGAATAAGTTACTGAATAATACCGAAATTCAATTGGTTGAGTAAATATTTAATCAGGTGCTTATTCTACATTATGAACTTTTTATTAATATTTATTTGTTGCTATCAGGTACTGAAGTTTAGTGTTTCGTTAATTAATTAGTGTTGATATTGGTTTTGACCTCTCCATGGAAAAATTTTAAGAAATATTTCTTCAATTGGAACGTTTTTCATAAGAAAAATCCACATCCAACTATCAAAATTCAATATTTTAGCGATTTTAAGTAATTTTGAAAATTTTATATTCATTCATTGTATATCATTTTGAAGACAAAAAAATAAGGAATTTAATGAGCTTATGAAATACAGGGAGTCCCATTTAAAAAATCATAAGTTTGAGTCGTATCTCCGAAACCATACCCCGAAAAAAAAATTTGAGTGTGCCACTGGATTCTGCGTAAACTTGTATATGGGCTGAGATTTTAATTCGAAATTTTTGCTGAGAAACTTCGTAGATATAGAGGGGGTCCAAAAAGTATAAATTTTCAATATCGCCCTGTATCTCATAAACGCAAACAGTTATGCAAAATCTGATTAGGCCATCTTGAGTTTCACAAAAAAGTGGCACAGGACCGCGAAACCCGCAAGGTTCTATCTCGAAAGATAACTGAGATATCACGCAAAAGCATCGAAAACTGGACACACTGTACAGTTGTGTGCATAAACAAGTCGTACAAGGTTTGTATGGTGTAAACCTGCCTATGATGTTCCTGATTTCATTAAAAAGTAGTACACGTACACATTTGCGCGTTACTGACAAAAATAGTTAGAAATTCCACACTAGTTGTCAAAGTCGATAAGAAGATTAATCAAGATTGACAAGCCTGACTCACAATAGCTTATAACTGCTGTACGACTTGTTTATGCACACAATTGTACTCACCTTACAAATTTTGCCTGTATTCAAATTAATTGTCCATTCCATAAGGGAATATTTCCATTGAAAAATTAAAGAAATAAAATCGGCACTTCCTTAAGAATTCCCGCAATTCATTACACAACAGGACATTTTAATTTGTGCTTTTTTCCGAATCTAACTAATACCATCGTTCGCAGGTACTTCCTGCAGATGTGCCTCGACAACAACATTCCCCTCCTCTTCGTTGGCCCTACAGGTACCGGAAAAACAGCAGTGGTACTCGACAATCTCCTCAACCTGCCCAAAGAGAAGTTCCTGCCCAACGTGGTCAACTTCAGCGCCAGAACCACCTCGATGATGACCCAGGAAATGGTGAGTTCTACTTTGGACTATAATATCTATTTTTTCTACAGGGTGTACCTGAAAGGTCTGTAGAAAATGATACAATGAACTAGCTTAGACTCCTGAGACCAAAGTGAGATGATTGAACCAAACTTATCTATACTAAAACGCTCCGTTTAAGCGCTTCAGGGTGTTGGAATTGAATTTTAATTTTTTATCTTTATGCAACAGCCTATCTTCTGAACCCGTTGAGAAATGTGTCCCACATATACAGGGTGTCCCTAAAAGGCCTGTACAAAATGATACCATAGACTGGCATAGACACGTGAAACCAAAGTGAGATGATTGAACCATACTTATCTCTATACTAAAACGCTCCGTTTAACCGCTACAGGTTGTTGGAATTGAATTTTTATTTTTTATTTTTATGCAACACCCTGTCTTGTGAACTCGTTGAGAAATGTGTCCCACATATACAGGGTATCCCTAATAGGTCTGTACAAAATGATACCATAGACTGGCATAGACTGCTGAGACCAAAGTTAGATGATTGAACCATACTTATCTCTATTCTAAAACGCTCCGTTTAACCGCTGCAGGTCGTTGGAATTGAATTTTTATTTTTATGTAACACCATGTCTTGTGAACTCGTTGAGAAATGTGTCCCACATATACATGGTGTCCCTAAAAGCTCTGTACAAAATCTCAGCACATATTCCTCTGGAGTCAAATTGAGCCGATTCAAAGCTCAAAGCTCCATTTTCGAGATACATGGTGGTAAAGTTAGAAAATAAAAATCGAATTTCTCAAAATGTACGAACATTTTTATAAACGTATCACTTCAAAGATTGGAACTCGGGGGCTTTTTGAGATGCGAAAGCCGGACGGACACCTTTTCACTGTGGTCATTAGAGGGCGCGCTCACCAAGGCGCTTATGGTTCAGAAAGGCCATAACTCTTTTTTTAGTGTAGTTTTCAACTTTTTTTGTTGAGGAAAAAACCCACTCAATATTTTCAAGCCAAAAAGGTGCACTTGTAAGAATTCGCTAAAGTAAGACGTTCTCGAGATATTCCGGTTTTTAGTGTTCGATGCCGCGCCGATAAATTTAAAGCCTGTATTTCGTATCGTTACCATAGCAACTGAACAAACTTCTTGGAAATTTTTTATTATTATCATTATTCAAAATAATTTTATGGAGTGTACTGGTCGAATTTTATTTTTTAACTTATTCACCCTGTATCTCGGAAACGAAGCACTTTCGGAATAAGGTATGTAGCTTCAAATCGGCTCATTTTTACCTCAGGACTATGAGCAAAGATTTTGTACAGACCTTTTCAGGGACATCCTGCATAGAGTTTTTGGCTGCCGACCGGCCTGACCGACTGGTCGTTAATTCACGTGACTAATCAAAATGACAAATACTAATGGTATCGACCGGTCGCTTGAAAACTTCACTGATCAGTTGATAATATACCGAAAATAACACATAACCCGGCAATTTAAAAACTAGATATGTTTGGAATCATCAATTTTGTGAGTCATTGAATTCCTCTAGACAGATTTTTTTGGATAAAATAATAATTTTGAACTGTATACCAGATGTAAAACACTCAAGTGATGTAATCCTATTTTTGTTGAAATATAAGCAGTTCGAATGACTCAATTTTAAAGACTGTAGAGGATCGTTCGGCCTTGGTCTTCAATTCCGTCGTCCTGTAGCGGCTGAACGGAACGTTTTGATTTTGATTGATTTGTGGTAGATTTGGTTCATTCATCTCACGTTGGTCTCAGGAGTCTTTGGTATCTCATTTTGTACAGATCAGATTTTGTCAGTATGAAACATTCATTATCCTGGATTCAAATATGTCATCTTACGAATCCATAATTTCATGAAGGATGTTGCTAGGTATTATCTTCTCTAACAAATATAAGTTTCAATGCCCTTTCCATTTCCATATTTAACTAGACAATTGAATTACTTGATAGCAAATACATTCAAGTCAAACATTGGCAAACAATCTGTTTTTCACAATGGAATAATTTTATACAATTCATTACCGAATGAGTTGAAAAATATACATGATGCAAGAAGGTTTAAAATCAATCTTAAAAAATACTTGCTCAGGACAATTTGAAAGAAAAATATGTGGCATGATTTGATTACTTAGGAATGAAATATAACTTTAATCTTATAAGACACAATATTAATTCGTTTCCACTGAGTGAAATTCATTATAGTTAACCCTTTATTATTTTTTTTATATGTATTTATGTATCCCTATCATAAACAGAAATGTTTCTTGGGGTAATAAAGACAATCAATCAATCAATATAGTGCTCACTGCATGATTCACCACTACAATATTCTCCATTAATATAAAGGTACTATCGAAATTTGATTATATCGAATAACAACAATTTCTAGGGAATGATTATTTATAAGTCATGTACTTACCCCACAGCCTGCACGTATATAGCAAAATTATTATTCAATATGTATCATCAATCCATGGATCCAATCTAAAGATCCAACAAAGATTGATATAACCGAAACTTTGTTCATGATTAAGTCATTTTGATTGCATGTGTTTGTCACATGGTTGTCATCACATCAATGTCATTCTTCATTCTTTGCCGTTTTATTCGTTCCAACACAATTCCTACACCAGAGAATCTCAAAAACCGGGACTGATATTTCGATAAAAATCTTAATGGCAGACCACGGTGAAAGACTTCTGATTCTGAGATATTCACTTGTCCATGTCTTTCAACATATCATATACATAACATATCATATACAACGTATCCATAAAATGATTAAATAACATTAACAGGTGATGTCCAAGCTGGACAAGAGGAGGAGGGGAGTGTTTGGTCCTTCGATGGGGAAAAAGTGCATTCTGTTTGTGGACGATGTGGGGATGCCGCAGAAGGAGACGTGGGGGGCGCAACCCCCCGTGGAGTTGCTGCGACAGTATATCGATCATGGGCATTGGTTCGAGAAGGATACGTCCATGTTGCAGCTGGTGGACATCATGTTTGTTGGAGCTATGGGCGTGCCTGGGGGAGGTAAATATTGATGTGTACACTGGTGTACATGTGGCTATGCGCATCTCCCTTCCTCTACCGTAGAAGAGTACAGACTCAGGCTATATTCCGAATTCAACTGGTCAGTACTGTCAGTAGATCCACTGAATCTGCTGAAAATCTGTGTTCCGAAATATAAAATCAAAAATACAGTGCTGTAATTTGGGATACGTTTTCATGGTATTCATTAGTACTCAGCAGCAGTTGATCAGCTGGTGAAATTTGTCAGTCTGTAGTTTCCCGTTTATGTGGACCAGATATCTGATATTTAATATTTAACATGGAAGAGCAATCGATTCTTGTAGCCTCCATAGTTTCTACGATTATTGACGATGACGATTCAGGCTCGAGTGATAAAGAATACTTGGACATTTTGTTGCCATTAATTTCTCATTATGCACCAGATTGAGAATTGAAAGATTTATAGAAAACGTAATGATGATGAATTTAGGAGACATTTCAGGTTTATTTAGTTATTTATTTAGCCAATGCTGCTTCTTCTTTTGTTACCTCTACTACTTCATACTCAATATTATTTTCAGCTCTTATTTTTTCAATAACAGGTATTTTCTGATAATGAGAATAATATTATTAACAACGGAAATGAATGTTACATTTCTTCCCCCACTAAAATAATGACAGTTCACTGAAGCCACACTACCTTCTGATATTCAGCAATTTCAGCAGAATTTTGACTCGAAACATTTGGAATGAATAGTATGTCTGCTCACAAGCATCTGTCACTTTCAGTTATTTTTTTGATTTCGGAATGAAAAATCAGCAGATTCAGTACTGTCAGTTGAATTCGGAATATAGCCTCAGACTAATAGCAAGTACAAGTGGCACTGGCTCGGTTCTTTCATGAAGTGCGGTTCCAGCACAGAGCAGTGGAATAGAAATAGAGAGTTGGTGCGACTTTCTTGTCATCAGAAATGTCAGAATAATTGTTTCGTCGATCAAAAAGTTGAACTATCGAAAGTACATTTGGTTCCGTTGGTCCACATGAAATTGATTCATCTACCTCTTATTGTGGTTTCCCTGTGAACACTCCCAGTATTTTATGAATGTTCATTGTCAATGATGTTCAATTGAATCATTCGACAATAGTGATGTGGCATTGAAGTGTCGTTCACGAAGTTAGTATTTTCCATCATTACTGCATCAACAATCAAAATGTTTGATACCTGCCCATCTGAATAGCTTTCTTTAACTTTTAGGTAATTTTGAAGCTTCCGTAAACGCTGTTTCGTAACGAAGTACCTCTGTATATCTCAATAATCATTTCTTCATCATCGCTTGTATCCAAATAATCCATGATTTCGGATATTATTGTAATAATAGTAATAAAATTCAATATGACATTCATAATTAATCAAATTCCAAACATTTTCCCACTCCTGACTCGAATATTTGAGGTTATGTGTTTCGCACCGTCGTACAAGCACAATTCTGAAAACTCAATGTTCGAGCTAGTGCGAAGAGTGGAAAACGCTATAAATAACAATATATAGACTCTGAAATTCATTCATAAATCATCGAAAAGTATATGGTAACTATCCTAGACGCCAAACACCGAAAAATGAATGAAATTGCGAATGGTGGGGACAATCTCAAACTAAATAAAATTAGATAGACACCGCGATTCATTCATAAATCATTAAAACAATCAACAATCCTTAACACGAAACACGGATGATTGAATGGAATCGCGAATGGTGGGGATAATCTCAGACTAAATAACAATCGATAGACACCGCGATTCATTCATGAATCATTAAAAAGTATTCGCCAAAAATCCCAGAGGAATTCAAATTTGGTATGCCTATCACACATGAAAACTAAATCTTTAGGGCTATTAGGTGAGGTCAATTACCTACAGGATGATACATTTTCTGGAGATGTACTCAATTTAACCCTCTCGAACTTTTCTGCGTGGTGCCTATGCTTCCAATGAAACATCCATTCAGATTCTCTGTTTCATTTGGAACGTTTTTTCACTTTCAGAGCTCGTTGAGTATTATATTACAGAATTTTTGTTTTTGTAAATCGGTCGACGGGTTCTGTCACTGTCACTGTTATGTTACCACGTGAACGGGGTTGGTACAGGACGGACTCGAAATTATTGTACACTTGAAGTAGTTGATATTAGCCACTTTCAATTTGACTGTGTGGGTAGCACCTGAACTACTCCAGAGCATGAAAAATAGACAGGAACGCGTTCTTTTTGTTAGTGCTTGGAGCCCCGGTGCTTCACAGTGCTACACCATCTACCTTCCCCTACCCCTCTGTCACTGTCAAATGACAAGCTATTTTTGGTTATCACCAAAGTTCATTGTCTATTTCCATGTATCAGGATAGTTCAACTAAAAACTGCGTTCTATTTGGGAGTAGCTCAAGTGCAACAAACACTGCGCTGCTCAGGTGCATGAAACATCAAAAATAAAATGGCTATTGTACAGGGTGATTCACCATAAATGCCCCTCCTCTAGCTCACTTATTCTTGCACCGATTTAAAAATTCAAAAAATCATCTTGGATGATTTTTCAGATTTTTTTCCCGTTGCATCAGAAAATACAGGGTGCTCGGAACAAACGATCTACAGAGTACTACTTGATTTTTCCGAATGGAACATTCTGTATTTCATGGTATTTTTAGATTCACCCTGAAGAGCTGATTTTATCAATACATCACAGTTGGGGGTCTAGCGGGAATAATTACAGAGATATAGGGTTTTCAAAATCGAGATTTTTCAACTTTAGGATTCTTTTGTGTCGAAACTATTCATTATTGGTCAAAACGGCTTCAATGTCCCTATCTCAACTTTTGATTTACTATCTACTGACATTTAATTGGAACAGTTACAGGGTGGTTCAAGATTCAGAATTCTGAACACCCTGTATCTGTTCCAATTATCAAATGTCAGTAGATAGTAAATCAAAAGTTACGATACGGACATGAGAGCCGTTTTGACCGATAATGAATGGTTCCGTCACAAAAAAATCCTGAAGTTGAAAAATCTCGATTTTGAACACCCTATATCTCTGTAATCATTCCCGCTAGACCCCAAGTGTGATGCATTGATTGAATCAGCTCTTCAGGGAGAATTAAAAAATACAATGAAAAATAGGGTGTTCCATTTAAAAAAAAATCAAATAGTACCCTGTAGATCGTTTGTTCCGAGCACCCTGTATTTTCTGATGTAGCGGAAAAATCGAAAATCATTTAAGATGATATTGTCACGATATAATGGTGGTTCCACCATGTCACGATATAATAGGTGGTTAGCCCATCCATATCGATTTATAAGGGGTTTGCTTGGCTTAATAGTTGGCGAGGGGTAATATTCAAATAGGCACTAATAGTTCAGGGATAGCTGAAAGTACGAGACTAATAGTTCAGGGATAGCTGAAAGTACGAGACTAATAGTTCAGGGATAGCTGAAAGTACGAGACTATATTCAAACATTACAATATTTATTGAAGCATGGAACATTATGGGTAGTGATGATAAATATGAATAAACAACAATGGATATAAAGACTTAATAACAACTTACATTATAAAGACCATCACGACGAGCTCTTGTCAAGTCAAGAGTAGCCCCAGACCAGACTAACTTCGGAACCCTCACATCTAATATTTATATACATCAATTTATTAGATTCGCACGTTTCTCATGAGAGTTTTCATAATTCAATGTCAACGGATGATTTGATTAACTTTACTTTTATAAAACCCTCATGGTTCGAAATTACTAATATACCGTATGTTCTACTCGTGACATGACCCCTCACTCCGAGAAAACTGGACCCCAGTGTCTACAATGTACACTCACACCTTTACTTAGTCCGGCACTGGCTATTCAACTGAAGCATTTTAATAAGACTTCTCGGTGTGACTTCTAGCAGCTCGGGGGTAGGGAATGACGATTGGGCATGGCATCCTCCAATCGTCATGGGAATTTCGGCAGGATCCTTTTGGGCCCGAAGGTATCCTTGTTCTGGGCATTGGGATGAAATCTTTTGGGCTTTAAGATTTCCTAGACTGTCCTTCAAGGGAACTGCTGTCTTCTTGGGGTAGCGACTGACGACTGATGGTCATGGCATCCTTCAATCGTCGTAGGAATTTTGGCGTGATATGGTGGAACCACCATTACATCATATTTCAAATTTTCGGTTCGAAAATAACTAAGCTAGAGGGGGGGGGGGGCATTTATGGTGAATCACCCTGAACATTTGTACTTTATATAAAAAATGAAATAAAATCTATATTTGTATGTTTTAAGGTAGAAACGAGATCTCAGATAGGTTCTTGCGGCACATGCAAATCATCGCGTTGGACTCGTTCGACGACAACACCCTCAACAAGATATTCGTCACGATCCTCGACTGGCACTTCGCCAAGGGATTCCCCGAGAACGTGGCGAGACTGTCGAAGTTTTGCGTCGGCGCCACGATCGAGGTGTACAAAGAGGCGACGCTGAACTTTTTGCCGACTCCCACCAAGTCGCACTACACCTTCTCGTTGCGGGATTTCTCGAGGGTGATCACGGGCGTTTTGCTCACGCCCTCGGCGAGAATGGACGATCCCGATAAGTTGATACGGCTGTGGATCCACGAGACTTACAGGTCAGATTATCTCTCTCTCTTCCTGAATATGACCTCTTGTCTTCCCACTAAACAAAGTTGAAAGCTATGTTGCTGCTACATTATCGAACTTCACCTTTGCAATATTTCGGAACGTCCGTTTTAGTTATTGCTTCGATTTCCAGCACGGGCAAGGAACTTTTTTCAATATTTTATTTACGAATTAAATATTGTAAAGTTTCGGAGCATCGGCTGGGGATAGTCCTGCACGATTCGCTGTTGCGTTCCAATTAACAGTGCTGCTCCTAAAGTGGCGCATGGAGTTAGTAACAAAGCCTACACAGAACACGCAGAAAGATATGATGATGTGGTTGTGAGCATCAGAGAAGAAGTAGGACGGTGTATGTAGGTGGGTGTGGAAAACTACCAGCTGAGCGTGAGAGCGGGCCAGCTGCTTAAGTAGACCTCGGTCTCGGGGGTTAACGATGATAGTTAGCAGGCCTGCCACTGCGCATATGGTAGTGAGTACATTACTAGCCTACAAAACACAGCTGAAAAACTCTGAAAAGAGAGCTGATGGGCGGTGCCTGAAAAGGATGTTAGCCAGCTCTCTTGAGCGAACCACATCAGTCATTGAAAACACTTGGGGTTTGCAAAAAGGTCCCATTGGGGACTAGTTGCTGACGTGGAAGCGTCCCCCACCAGTACCAGTACCAGTACCAGTAGTTATTGCTTGAACATTGCATCAACATAGGCGACTGAGATTAAGATCGTAGCGCTAGATCGGCGAATGTCGGTACTACTCTATGGGCCATTGGCGGATTGTTTACATTGTTTGGTAATGGTGTTTATGTTCATTTCGTTTTGAGTTTTCTAACGTTCAGCTTTGTTTTTTGTCTATTTTCGAACTTTGTATTTTCCAGCGGTCTATTGTGTTTCGAATGAGGACTATATTATCTCTGTTCAACATTAGATAACCTCCCTACCTCTAGTTGAACTTCATATATACCAACATACATAAGCTGTAAGTTTTTATCATTATTGAACCAAAATTATCATGAAAACCTGTGTGGGATGTTGATTTTCAATTCGAATATATGGCTGGGATATTCCCCTGATAACATGATAATTTTAAAAGAAAATCCAGCTAACTTTTTGGGAATAAAATGTTCTTTCGAAGGTGAATTTAGGTATACAGTTTCTACTTGACTTTTTACAACATAATCATCAAAACACTGATTGATAAAATTCTTTAATGTTTAAAAATTCTACTGTTCATGAGTAAAGATATAATCAGTTTAAAATTTGTTTGTTTTTTTACCATCACCTCGAGAAGTAGGTATTATATTCATAATAGACATAGGACATAGACATACATTTGAAAATATACCTATATGAGTCAATGTTCAGTGAAGTGTAAAAAACAATATCTCATTATGTCACAATCTTCAAGTTATGAATCCACACCTTTCTCCTACCGATCACTTCCTTGTTTCCCAAATTATTAGTTTCAAATACAAAATTAGACTGTCCTGATTTTTGAAAGGAATGAAAGCTATAGTCGGGATTTTTTTGCTCAAGATGAACAATCAGGTACACAACAATAATGACTCATGTTTTTAAACGTTTATAGAAGTTCTCAAACAAAATTATAGACAATTAAAACACAACTACTTCTCATACAAAATACACGCAAACTAATGTAAACAAAGCAATCATTGGGCCATGCGTTAGTTATATTAGACAACGGTAGAGGGCGTACTCCTTAGCATGTTTCGCCTATAGCTTTCAATTTTGCTCAGTGGTATTTTTTCTTGTGATGACTTGGATTCTTCCGACTAGTGTTTTTTCGCACATCATACGAGTATTACAATATATGGACAGTTTCTGTCATCAATATAAACATTTTTCAACCACAGTGTTTCTTTGCACACAATTCAAGTGTTTTATCTTACAATAGGCAATTTCACTATTATTGAAAATAGCCCTTTTTATATGGCGAACGGTCTCACACATGATTCAGTATATCAAATAGCACTTCCTCTCATCTATTGATTCCTTCGCAACCGTTTAATTGATACTTCAAAAGTGCTACTGATTGAGAGAGTTCCAAACGACCACTTTTCGCGGTGTGACGTCACTTGTATTTTCTTGAGGCTCTGACGACCCAAAGAGGACGCGTTGCACAAAACCACAGACACAGAACTCGAGCACAGAGTGGTTGGGTGATCTGTGACTTGAGAGAAAAATGGCTACAAAGGCTATATTCCGAATTCAACTGGTCAGTACTGTCAGTAGATCCACTGAATCTGCTGAAAATCTGTGTTACGAAATATAAAATCAAAAATACAGTGCTGTAATTCGGGACACATTTTCATGGTTTTCATCAGTAGTCAGCAGCAGTTGATCAGCTGGTGAAATTTGTCAGTCAGTAGTTTCCCGTTTATCTGGACCAGATATTTGATATTTAATATTTAACATGGAAGAGCAATCGATTCTTGTAGCCTCCATAGTTTCTACGATTATTGACGATGACGATTCAGGCTCGAGTGATGAAGAATACTTGGACATTTGTTGTCATTAATTTCTCATGATGCACCAGATTGAGAGAATTGAAAGATTTATAGAAAACGAATTTAGGAGACATTTCAGGTTTATTTATTTAGCAAATGCTGCTTCTTGTTTTGTTACCTCTACTACTCCATACTCAATATTATATTGAAAATAATATCATTAACAACAGAAATGAATGTTGCACTCCTTCTTCCACTAAAATAATGACAGTTCACTGAAGCCACACTACCTTCTGATACTCAGCAATTCCAGCAGAGTTTTGAGTCGAATTATTTGGAATGAATAGTACGTCTGCTCACAAGCATCTGTCACTTTCAGTAAATTTTTTGATTTCGGAATGAAAAATCAGCAGATTCAGTACTTTAAGTTGAATTCGGAATATAGCCAAAGCAAACCATAGAAGAAGAAAAAGATTAACCTCGAAATCTAGTTCATTATTTCATTTCATTTTCAGTGATCTATAATATAGTTTTTATTGAGTGACAAATGCAATGACAAATGGTGTCAAGACCAAGTGGCAAGACGAATTACCCAATGAGAATTGTATGATGCGGTGTGACGCCCCTTGTATTCGTCCAATGAAATGCCGTCAGTATTTCGCGCGCATTCGAGTTATCGTTTGAATTTAGGTTCAATTTTATAATTTTTTTCTGGGTCAACCGCAATCGTAAGAAAATTGAAAAAATGCTGAATTCACCCAGTATGTGTTCTAAATCGTGAAAAAAAATCAAAAAATCATGGTAAAATTCCCTATTCTGTAGTCCCAAAAGGAAATTTGTGCAACGAAACAATATCCGTACACTAGAAAGAGTACAAAGATGCTGAAATTTTGTGTATTCAACTCTCACTGATTTGTTAATGCGATTGATTTTTTTGAAAAAACAACCATTTAGATAATAGGCTCAAAATTGGTCCAAAAATCGAAAGAGAATCAAAATCTGCTTGAAACATTCATAAATTCTATGCCAAATTGGTTTATTTTACTCGATTATTTAGGATTTTCTCTCCTCGTTTCTATAAAATAAAAATATGAGTATAAATTCGATATTTTCTCAATATATCTATATTTCTTCTCTCCAAACATTATTCCAAACAAAGTGTCACTGTAAGCTATTGGATTTTCTTTAGGCTCCCTGATCGAAAAATTTGTTAAACGCAGTGACGTTTTGGGGCAAATCCTCTGATTTGTCCTACTACACATATATTTTTTTTATCGCTTGGAGCGCACGAAAGGGAATTCCTATAATGTTCAAAGAACATCGTGCGTTCATAGGGAGGATAGGGACAGGAGGTAGGTATTGGACTTTTTTTGAACTTTTGGAGATTATATGTTGTTGGGAATACTTCCACAGGCAATGAATTCCAGAGCCTAGCCGTTCTATGGATGAAGGAGTCTTGATAAAGTGCTGTTCGACATCTTTCGAGGTTGACAACGAAAGGATGAGCTGACTGGGCTTGTCTAGTTCGTCTGATTGGTATTGCTAGTGGAGGGATGATTCCAATGATGTCAAAGAGTGAGTGAGTGTGGCGTCACCCACCAGGCGAATGGCTCTTCTCTGGATGGAATCTAAGAGCATCAGCGTATGTTTTGGTGCTGAACCCCATATGTGGGAACAGTATTCTAGAACAGGCCGTATCTGCGCTTTGTAGATCATGAGAAGCTGTTGAGGTGTAAAGTAGTTTTTGGCACGGAACAAGAATCCGAGTTTTTGTGAATCAGCTTTTGCGATGGATCTGACATGATTATCCCATGAAAGAGTGTTGCTGATGGAAATACCGAGCATATATATGGTGGGCTTGGTGGGGATGGTGGAGCCAGACATTACAATATCGGGCATACTGAGTTCCGCCTCTCTAGAGAAAATGCAGGCTTGAGTTTTGGTGGCGTTGAATTCAACTAGGTTGTTTGTTCCCCAGGCTGTGATTTCAGCAAGATCTTCATTGACAGCATTGACCTGCCTGCGCCGTGAGTTCTTAGTTTCCTGGGAAGAAATGGGAATTCTGGAAGAGAACGCAGTATGGAGGGTACTATCATCTGCAAAGCTGTGGATGGGGCAAGTTGTTACTCCCAACAGATCATTGATATGAAGCAGGAATAATGTTGGTGCCAAAATTGATCCTTGTGGAACGCCGGAATTGATGCCAATGGTATCAGACGATACACCGTCCACCACTGCCTGAAGCCGTATCGAAATGATACTCATATTTTCATTTTATAGAAACTAGGAGAGTAAATCCCGAATAATCAAGTAAAATGAATGTACAGGGTGTTTCATTCAAAAATTAATACATCTTGTCCATAACTTTTTTTTAGATTTTCAATTGTTTTACTGTTGACATATTCAAAATCTACAAGAAAAATTATAGAAGACTGTTCTTTGGAAAAAGAATTCGATGATAAATAAAATAGTTGAGGGGGGTTCAAAATATACGTGAAGACAATGTACCACCTCCTCGATTAACCTACAGACAGTATTTACCAAATTCGTTTGTTGAACACTCTCTGTAAGGTTCTATAGTTTGGCACCAGATACCACCCACTTCTTGATTTTCATCAATACTTTTTCATTTTCAATTCACAGGGTGTTTCACGACAGACTGATCGACGACAACGATAGAAAAATGTTGTTCGGCATCGTCAAAAACTCCTGTTACCAAAACTTCAGACAGCACATGGACAAAGTGTGCTCGAACATAGTACCGGAAGGCGAAATTTTGAACCCTCAGCATATCAGAAACCTGTTTTACGGCAACTACATCGAACCTGACGCCGAACCGAAAGTCTACGACGAGATAACCGATATGGAAGATTTAGTGGAGAAAATGAACTACTACTTGTCGGAGTACAACATAATTTCGAAGTCGCCCATGGACTTGGTGATGTTCAAGTTCGCCATAGAACACGTGAGCAGAGTGTCACGTGTGTTGATGCAGCCGAATGGGAATGCTCTTTTGGTAGGCATCGGAGGCTCAGGAAGACACAGTTCGGCTAAATTAGCCGGCTTCATGGCTGAATGCAACATCTTCGAGATAGAGATAACAAGAACCTACAGCATCTCAGAATGGCGAGACGATCTGAAAAAACTGCTGGGCAAAGCCGGTTGCGAAGGGAAACCAATCATTTTTCTTTTTGCTGATACCCAGATAGCAGATGAGATGTTCATCGAGGACATAAACACGATCCTCAACACTGCTGATGTACCTAATTTGTACGCTCCGGACGAGAAGGTCGATATTTTGGAAAGGATGCAGAATTTGGCTCGCGAGAGCGGGAAGAAAATCGAACCGACACCGCTCGCCCTGTACAACTTCTTCATCGAGAGAGTTCGAAGTAATTTGCACGTGGCGCTGTGTATGTCTCCTATTGGCGATTCGTTCCGAGTGCGATGCAGGATGTTTCCTTCGTTGATAAATTGCTGCACTATTGATTGGTTCCAGAGTTGGCCCGACGATGCTTTGGAGAGGTATTCTATGAAAGTTAGACAAGAATGATTGATTGATTATTTTTAAGTCTCTATATTGATGAAAAATTATTATAGACTGAACATATAGACCATTCAAAAAATAAAATAAATCCGATCATAGGCATTTTATCCAAAATCCGAAATATCATTCCCATAAAATATTTTAAATGTATTTACTTCTGCCACATTTATTCAAATTTGCAATATTTAATTTCTATTTGGGGGAGTACAAATATCTCACGCTTAAAACCACTAATGAAATTAGAAAAAGAATCAATTAAAGGCATTTTTCATCTACATTTTCTAGAACCAACGGTAAATTTATACAAACCTAGACATTTCCTGAACGTCATTTCGTTATATAAACTTAATAGACTGTTGGCCCGCGACACAGGGTTTATCGATGTTCTAAGTCGGTATGCCATTCAAGGGACCCCCTCACTAGCTTAGTCCAAGTTAACAGGAAGAAGTGCCTCGGAGAGTCGCAACCCAGTCCTTGCACTGGCCTTGACGTGTCTACGGTTATTTCTTCATGAGGGCTATGTCCAATAATCTCTTCCTTGTATTCCTACAGTTCCCTCGATATTCCTTTAATTTTATATATAAGTAACGCATAAATTCATTATTGGCTAAATGAACAATAAAATTAGAAAATCCCGAAACAGGTCGATTTTTTATTTCAATTTACTATTGTTTCAAATCATAATCTAATATACAGGGTTAACCACTTTCGTGTAATGACGTCATCACCATTTTTTTCAAATGGAACCCCCCTTTTTTTTCAATTTCAGAATTGCCTTTGCTGAGCTGATTCCAAAAATGTATAATATGTTGCTTCAAATTGGTACAGGGTGGGCAAAAATGCAAAAAAAAAATATGAAAATTGTTTATGGAAAGTAATACGTTACTGAATGTAATAAACAAATTAAATGGAATTATGTAGTTATGCAATTAATGTGATACACTTCCAAATACAAACAAACAAACGAAAATTCACAATAAATGTTCAAATTGTTCTCCATTGACCGTTAGACAATGACTGAACCGGGCATTTCTTTCGTCTCTAACATTATGCAGCATAGCGGGTGTTATGCTCTTTATTTCTTTCTGATTCGGTCTTGTAGTTGAGGGATATTTCCAGGTCTGTTTAAGTAGACTTCAGATTTTAAATAACCCCATAAAAAGAAGTCTAATGGGCTCAGATCAGGTGATCTAGCAGGCCATTCCACTGGTTCCCTTCTTCCTATCCACCTTTGTGGAAAGGTTGTGTTTAAAAAATCGCGCACAGTTACTGCGAAATGTGGCGGTGCGCCATCCTGTTGAAACCAGATTCTGCGGTTACATTAGTGGGTATTTGAATATCAGGAAAAAGCTGGATCAGATCAGGAATTAATGTATTTTGTAGGAAATCCAGATATAATGCTCCTGTTATGTTTTCATCAAAAAAATATGGACCAATGATTGTATTTCTCACAATACCAGCCCATACGTTAGTTTTTTGTGGTCTTTGCTTATGGTATTCTTGCATCCAGTGTGGATTTTCATCAGACCAATAACGGGTGTTTTGCCGGTTAACATGACCGTTCAAATAAAACGTTGCCTCGTCCGAAAATAAAACGTTATCAATGAAATTGTTATTTTGGTTCATCATATACTCGCAGAATTCAGTTCTTCGGTCAAAGTCGTCTTCAGCCAATTCATGGATGAGACGTACTTTATAAGGATGGTATTTTACCTTTCTAAAAATGTTTGATACTGAAGACTTTCCAATACCAAAATCCCTAGATAATCCTCGCACTGTACAGTGTGGATTTTCTACAGCCGACAAAATTATGTCTTGTTGAATATTTTCATCAATTTTTGGTCTACCTTGCTTTGCTGCATCCCTCACATGTCCTAATTCTCTGTATTTTCGCTCTATTCTACTTACCGTAGATTGTGAAATAGGTTCACGATCTGGGTGCATTTCATGGAATAATCGGCATACCTCTTGTTGAGTCCGCATCTTATCGCCAATACCAATCATCATTAATATTTCAATCCTGTCACTTTCGGTTAAAGGCATTTTGTAAAAAAAGTTCACGAACGTACCTTCTCTAAAGCGTTAACAATACGAAACTGTGCTTCAATGTTTTTGACAGTTTTGTCAAATTAAAAAAATGGTAGAAGATAATGCCAAACAAAAAGATTTTTATAGTCCACGGGCTTGGATCACTAATAAAAGCTGTAAGATACAATTATTAAGAATAATGCTGGATGTTCTTGATAGTTTATCAAAGTAGTTGTATAACAATACGTAATTTCATTTAATGTGTTTATTACGTTTATTCATTATTTTTATTACTTTGTAAGTAAATTTTTGCATTTTTGCCCACCCTGTACTAATTTGAAGCAACATATTATACATTTTTGGAATCAGCTCAGCAAAGGCAATTTGGAAATTGAAAAAAAAAGGGAGGGGTTCCATTTGAAAAAAATGGTGATGACGTCATTACACGAAAGTGGTTCACTCTGTATATTAGATTATGATTTGAAACAATAGTAAATTGAAATAAAAAAACGATCTGTTTCGGGAATTTCTAATTTTATTGTTCATTTAGCCAATAATGAATTTATGCGTTACATTATGGACGCACTGTATACATGTTTTTATGTTCATAATTATATCTGAGAATATTCCTTTTCAATACTTTCACCCAATCAACGATGGATACTTGTTAATTTTATAGACCTTCAATCGCAGATTCGTGATTAGGTTTTGTCAATTCAGAATTTCTTTCCACGTCCTGTATGATGAATATCAATTTATCATACATCCAAAAGTAAACTTTTTTACCAAAATAGGCCCTTTATTGGGGAAAATCAGTTCATAATTTGCCCCATCAAAATCGAACCTTCTTTACCGAATCCCGATGTGAAATACTAACCATCCTGCCCTTAGGGTGGCGCAGATGTTCTTAGGGCAGACGAAGATCGAGGAGGCCGTTGTGCACTCTTGCGTGTTCATGTGCAAGCATTTCCATATCAGCGTTGAGGAGGCTTCGCGGAGGTTCTATGTGGAGCAGAAGAGGAAGACGTACGTTACGCCTACTTCATATTTGGAGCTGATACAGACGTTCAGGAGCTTGTATGCGGTGAAAGTGGACCAGATCACCGTCCAGCGCAACAGGTACTTTATTTCGTACTGTCGATTTCCTTAAAACCCTGGGGTTAGGTTGAGTAGGAATTGACTGGATTGGTCTGGTCATGACTAGACTTCGCCCATTTGCCCTCGGTATTATTGTTTTTTTTGTGAGGACAAATAAAGAAACATTATTATTACTATTATTATATTTCTCATCGAAAAACAACTGAAAGTGGTGTACCGCAGGGTCTATTCCAGAACCACTGTTTTTTTGTGCTCTATACAAGCCAACTCATAAAATCTTTGACATATTGCTCGAGCCACTTCTATGCTGATGACACTCAACTTTATTACCAATTTGAGGAACGAAATTTAGATCAGTCAATTACTCGTATAGATGATGACCTTGAAGCGCTCATCTCGTCATCCAAGAAACTTGGACTAACAATAAAAGCATCTAAGTCAAATGGCTGTTTGGCAGGAATTTCACGAAAAAACGTTGTATGGATCTTATACAAATTAAATTGAATAGGGAGACCTTGCAATTGAGAGAAACTTGTAAGAATCTTTGCATTATCATCGATACAGATCTTAATCTCACTCATCATGTCTCACTTATCATTCGCAGAGGCTTCAATAATTTGAAGGAAAATCCTCTATAAAAAATTTTTGAATTCTCAATTAACCACGATTTAATTTTTTTCTTGAATCCAAAGAAATTGTTTTTTTTATGAATAGTGTTGATGTTTTATAAAACAATTGATCAACAGATAAAATGTTATGATGTTCCTGAGTTTGGAAGAATAATCAAAAGATTTTTTGAAGATAATTTTCAAGGTATATTTTTGAATTGATATAAGTGGTTTCAACGCTTGTTTATATAGACCTCCCCAATCTATTATGTTATAAGCCAAAATAGATTGAAAAAGACTATAATAGAAACTGATAATTAAATTTCGACTGACAATGTTTCTCAGTAACCTGAATTTATAGAGTGTTTTCCTTAGTTTTTGTATCAATTCATTAATTTGTTTATGCCATTTGAGCTTGCAATCTAAGTGAATTTCCAAATACTTCACTACATCATTGTTGGTGATATATTCGGTACAATTACATTGCTTTCATTTTTTAAACATGGAATAGTATGTATCTTCAATTTATCGATTCTTTTTGGTTACATATTGTCATTGAATGTGAATGTCATAAAATTCGATTTTTTTTTAAATTTAGAGTCAGTAAATCATAATCAAGATTGTTTTTTTATAATTGATAAATCAAGTTCAGCATTTGATACTGTTTCTTCCCAAGTATTTCCACTACCTATATGCACTGTATCGTCAGCATAAGAAGATAAATTTCCTTTTTTCTTTGTTTTCAATATATCATTGATGGAAATTAAAAATAGAATAGGTCCTAATACTGTCCCTTGAGGCACACCACATTGTATAATTCTTGTGTTACTGCGAACTTGCTCGATCTGAACATTTTGTTCCCTTTCAGATGAATAACTTTCGAAAATTTTCAAGCATATTCCTCTAATACCAACCGAATTTTGATAATAATTTCTCATGTGAAACAGTATCAAATGCTTTCTTCAAATCAAAAAATATTCCAATAGTTTTTTGTTTATTATCTAAGGATTTATAAGTAGTTTCAGTAACGTTGAATATTGCATCTTCTGTTCCCATTTTTTCTCTGAATCCAAATTGTCTCGGAAATAATAAATTATGTTTTTCCAAAAAGATCTGTTGATCTGATTTCAATATTATCAATTAATGAAATTGATCAATAATTATCGCAATATCTTTTATCTTCTCCCTTATGTATTGGAGAAACAAATGATTTTTTTGAAGATTTTGATGGGTTGAATCCTATTTACATGGAGGTTCCGAATTACAGATACGAAACTGGCTTGGAAAAACTCGACTTCGCCGCCAACCAAGTCGGCCTCATGCAACTGGAATTGCACGACCTGCAACCCAAACTGATCGTCGCCTCGTCGAAAACGGAGAAACTCATGATCAAGATCGAGCAGGATACGGTCGTGGTGGAAAAGCAGAAAGAGATAGTAGGCGCTGACGAGGCTCTGGCCAACGAAGCTGCTGCTGCCGCGCAGGCCATCAAGGTGAGTGTGAGACAGCGTTTTTATACGAATGCGTAGGAAGCTCACGTTGAGTTTTCTTTTTTAAATAGACACATAGAGTGACATATCGAAGACTGGAACCTTTGGCACGATAATACACTACACTGTTTTACCACTAACCAAACCGATTTTTTAACGCCTCGACACGTGTTTCGCTAATTATGTTAGCATCTTCAGGAGAAAATTAAAACTCATTTTAGAAGATTAACACTCATTTTAAAACTCAGTTTTAATCTTCTCCTGAAGATGCTAACATAGTTAGCGAAACACGTGTCGAGGCGTTAAAAAATCCGGTTTGGTTAGTGGTAAAACAGTGTAGTGTACATAGAGTGATGATTTTTTTTTGTGTTCTGAAAAATATGGTGGAACCTTAGCCGTGGCACTTGATATCTCCAAGACATTCGATCGAGTCTGGCACCACGGACTCCTCGCCAAGCTTCCATTTTATGGCTTGCCTCGCCAGCTATGCTCTCTGCTAGCTAGTTTTCTCTCGAACAGTTCTCTCCATGTAGTGGTCGACGGAGTTTCATCTGACTCTCTTATCATAAATGCTGGTGTTCCGCAAGGATCAATTATAGCACCAACATTATTTCTACTCCATATCAACGATTTGTTGGAAGCAACTTCATGTCCAGTACACAGCTTCGCGGGAGATAGTACCCTCCATAGCGCCTTCTCTTCCAGGGCTCCAATACCAGCCAGGCAAATCAGAAACGAACGAGAGAGAAATGTTGACAACATAACTATGGACTTGACAACAATTCTCGAATGGGGATTCAATAACTTGGTAGATTTCAATGCAAACAAAACACAAGCATGCCTTTTCTCTAGAGAAGCCGATCTCACTGTCCCCAACATGAAGACATCCATTTCGATGCTTGGTATTACTATCAGCAATAACCTCTCTTGGGAAAATCACGTGAGATCAATTGCTAAAAGTGCATCCCAAAAACTTTTCTTTCGGGCCAGGAGCTATTTCACTTCTAGTTAGCTGCTTATGATCTATAAGGCACAGATCCGACCTGTCCTGGAATACTGTTCCCATATTTGGAGTGCAGCACCCAAACATACCCGGAAACTGTTGGATCCAAAAAAGGGCAATTCGTCTCGTGGGTGATGCCTCGCTCACTTCTCTGGAACACCGTAGAAAAGTTGGTGATCTGGCTTTATTTTATAGATGTTTTCATGGACGATACTCATCTGAAATATCAACAATAGTTCCTCCCTTGGCAGTCCCCGCGAGATTAACCCGTCGAGTTGTGGCTTCGTACCCCTTCGTAGTCACTTTGGAGACTTGCAGAACATCTCTTTCCAAAGACTCGTTCATCCAACGAACCTAGGCTCTAGAACACATTGCCAAGGAAGGTGTTTCCCGAGGCATATAACCTCCAGAAATTCAAGAAGAACACCAATTCCTACCTTATTTCCCTTGGTTCTCACGATGTGCTCTGCACATTACAGGATGTCCCTTTTCGTGGGAACCAGGACATGAAAAAAAAATCTTGCTAAGATAATACCTATTTTTTTATTAGGCAAGTCTATCTTGAATTTTTTTGTACGCGAATTTTGTAATCACTTTGTCTGGAAAATTGTCTAATATTTCGGAATTTTTCTCAATAGATAGCATGGATAGAGCTGTTAAACGATCCTCAGTCATTGAATTTCTGAGGAACGTTTTGACTCGTTTTACGGTTGGGAAACATCGTTCAACCTCTGATGTGGTCACCACAATTTCTAATAATTTTTTGTCTCTTTCAAGGTATCTCCTAGATTGTTTGCTATTACATATTTTAGAAGAGGTAGCCACTCAGTGGCGACTGGTAGTATATTGTGGTCAACTTTACAGAAAACCAAAATACCACGAGCTGCAACTGTGCAGTATCATTGTTTTCCTAATGAATTATCGTAAATGAAGTGTATCAGCTCAGATCAGCCCTAGATATTTTCATGATTTGTCGATGCAAAAATGTTGTTTCATCTTTAAGGACGACTGTGAATCGGATTTGTCAGAGGCGATACCGGCTCTGGAGGCGGCCATCGATGCTCTGAACACGCTCAAACCGGCCGATATCACGCTGGTCAAGGCCATGAAGAATCCGCCGTTCGGGGTCAAGCTCGTCATGGAGGCGATTTGCGTCATGAAACAGGTAGGAAGAGGGCGTTACTAGTATTCCTTATAGAGCCGGCTGTAACAGGATATCCTCAGGGGGAGTTTCAGGTCGCGAAATGAATCGTTTATGGATTTGTGGATATGTGGTTTTATTAGCCAATCACCCACCAACGTGGTTATGTGATGTGGCACCATGCAAATACGTGAATAATATAATGAGTAACTTGTTATGACTGAGAAATATTTGACTCTATTATTTGGAAGAACACGCACAACTACTTCAATCACTTTATTCGACAACCGTTCGATAGCACGAACCAGTCAGTACTGCCCCTACATTATTCATCCTATCTCTATGACAAGTTATTACCTAAGAAAGTATGAGTCAGTAGCGATTTCTGGCCAGGAAACCGCTCCTATACTAATGTAACCCTCTTAATAGATTATCCCCCTTAAGTATTTGTAATATTCAATTATATGAGATAGATGTTAGGATAGTGATTCATTGGAATGTATGATATAACGATGACTCGGTGACAGGGTATAGGTTTAATAGAGTAGTCAGTATTGCTGTGTGATTTATCCAAGTTGGATGTAATGAAGAAGAGTTAGAAGAAGTGTATTTGAGTGTGAAATACCATTTAACACTAATATACAGCTTGTGAATATAATATGATTATAATAACGATAACAATGATAGTAATAATGATAATAGAAATAATAATAATAATAAAAATATCTTATAATGATAAGAATGACAGAAATAGTGATATTTCACTGATAATAATTATTATTCAGATGATGCCGGGCTCCAGAAGATTACTTCGGTCGGTTACAAACTACTTTACCTGGCACTAGAGTTCCTAAATGTACTTGACACTGCTGTTTTGATGTTTTTCGTATATTAGAGTTCGGACACTAGACAAGCAGTGACAATCAAACATAACCACAAACGATTTTGAACCAAATCATATGTTTTGCCAGACAAGAACAAGAATATATTTTTCGCTTAGATAAAGGATCCTCGCGTCTTCCTTCTTTCACAAGTCCTGGGAATAGTACATCCATATATCTTTCTCTGTCTTTGATTTTTGTTTGTATGAGAGTGCATAGCGTTTCATGGAGTGGGTAAAAGGGTACGATGAATTGATTAGAACATTATTTCTTTTCCAAATATTGAATGATAAGGCTGAAGGACCTCAATAGAGATCGATATATAGTTGGTATGTACATATATACATACCAACGAAATACATAATATACTATTCCTCTGAAATAAATCTCTTATATGTAGGTATATACGTTCAGTTGAATATTTTTTTATCACTTATGTTCAGAATGAGGTAAAAACTGATAAATTTCAACCAATGAAACATACTTTTATTTCGTATGGTACAATTTCATATGTACAAAAGTGGTAGGTTATTTGTAATGAATCAATGAACGAATTATATAGCAACAATTACAGCTGATTTCAGTTAGGATAAATAATAATGGTTCTCCAAGACATACGGAAGTAGGTATAAATGGACTTCAGCGCTCGACTCACTATAGATGATCGCCGTTCACATTGCTAAAGGGGATTGTTGGTTTGAACCCGGCCTTCGGAAGATCATTTTCAATACCTAATAACATAAATGGAGCACTCGTGAGCGTTCTTGTTCTGTGCTCTGATAATATCTTGCTCGTATCTTGATTCCCAAGAAGTGGTTTAAAGTCCACTAGGAGCTATGGAGTCGTCTAGCACTTCTCAACTACGCATGAACATGCACATTCAGACTAGGGATTTCAACTTTGAAGAAGCGATACACGAACAATATATTCAACTCTTTGATATAGATACATCAATATCTGGTACCTACATCAGAGTTCCACAAAGTGACTATATGTTTTCACAAAATTATAATAAGCGTTATTATAATTTTCTTGTATTTCTCTGAAGATATTTGCTGATTTTGTTTCAAATCTGAAATAATTTTTAGGTAATAGTTCTGAATTTTGCTAACTCTGACTTCTGTATCTAAATCTTTTTGCTTCAACTTATTTTCCAACTCTCTATTTTTTCTTCTATTTCCTGAACTCCTCACTCTCTTCCACTCGTAAACCTTGGATTTTTTAATATTCCCGCTATGAAAAGTCTTTTTCTTTCAAAATATGTTCGAAATGAATTTAATTATCTGCAAGTTTTTCGTTTCTTGTTGGTTCTAAATTGGAAAAAGGTTCTTTTCGATACTCGCTCAGTTTATAAATTGTGGGTTCGGCTCTTTCTTCCAACACGATCCCATTCTTCAACATCAAATCTTCCGTTCTGAAGTGTACCTGATAAAAATGCGTTGAAAAATGTTCTATATCCTACCAAGAATTTTCAATACCTCGCAAGTTTTGTGGCTTGAACCCATATTCCATGCCGGCCGCATCATATTCTGTTTCCATTTTTGTATAATTACGTCATCCAATGGAAATTCGAATAGAGTGAATTGCTTCCTTGTGAAGTGAGATATCCCGTAACGACATCGAAATTGGGACAGCCTGTACTTGCTCTTGTATTTCGATGTTATTGTATATCCATAGGTGAAACCGGACCGCAAACCTGACGTGTCCACCGGCAGGATGATGGAAGACTTTTGGGGGCCGTCCGTCAAACTGTTGGGCGACATGAAGTTCCTGGAGAACCTCAAACTGTACGACAAAGACAACATACCTCCGCCTGTCATGAAGAGGATAAGAGACAGGTACATACGAAAGCGTAGAAGTATCAAGTTACGTTTTTTTAAATGACACTTGTAACTGTTTATTTAGACAGTTGCAACCGTCTCTATTTTTGTTGACAGTTCCTACTATCTAAACAGATACAGTTGTTAGTATCTGAATAGACAGTTGTAACATACAGTTGTATTCAATAAAAAAGCGAACTAGTATTGAAAAGGGAGGTCAACGTCATCCTAGTTCTCTTTCTGTAAAACTGGCACAGCACTCCAATGTAAATGCTTTGTATTTGTGACAACTTATGACAACTGTCAACATTTGGTGAACAATAGTTGCGTTTTATTCATCCGATTCCGCCACCGGAATCACTACAAGGAATGACGTGAAATGACTGTTGACAGTTGACAAATAATTAAATGAGATTGACGGAAAAAGAAACTGTTTGAAAGTAGAAGACATTTTTATCATGAGGTTCACAAGTTTATGATCCATCCAAGTAAGACAGGTTTCATATTATGTTCGTTCCCATACGAAATGAATTCTCTCGATCTCAGAAAATATGTTTGTCCAATCACCACAATAACTGCTCCAAATATGCGTCGATTCATTTTCTAGATTCTTAACTCTAGTATCATGATTCTGAAATTATTCGGAGCCCCATAAATATAACCTCAATCATCTATAATATATGTCAATTCTCCAATGCAAGGTCATGAAGTTTCTCGTTTCATTTGTGAACGTCATTCTTTTCCCACCATCGCTATACCAGGATGGAACAAATAAAACGCAACTAATCATTCCCTATAGCCCGTTTTTTGCAAATAGGATAACGATAATTTCTCCCTCTAATACTTCTACGCTTTTTTAATACAACTGTACTAGACTGTCTAGATAGACAGATGTAACAGACTAGACTGTCTAGATCTAGATAGACAGTTGTAACTGGCAGAGTTACAGAAAAAAATGAATTATTCAAAGATGAACGTGGCGGCAATTCCAAGTTTGGTAATAGACGAGCAGTAATCATTGTAAGGATTGTTTTCTTGTTCAATTAGTTTTCGGTGTTTTATCAACTCATTTTATATTATAAATCTGAAGATAGATCCTCAGTGTTGAATCTGTAAAGAAAAATTAGTTGCGAATATTCTGCATATGTCACGGGTACAAAGAAATTTGAGTGCAGTGGCTGTTTCGTTGATGAGAAGCTTGTTTACAATATTGAATATATCAAATAATCTCACTCACTTCAATGTATGTTCAAAGATTCATTTCAAGCTCTGAAGTAAGCTACCTACAATGACCTGCTTGAACCAGGGTTATTATATATCCATAAAATATGCTACTGTTTTTGCTCATATGAATGTAATTGGGAGATGTATTTTAACTTAATCATTTTGGATGTACATGGAATCTGCATTGGCTATTTCACCACAAAGATGATACTACAAAATAAGAATCTATAGAGGCCTAGGCAGGATGTCATGAACAAGATTTTTATATCAATCAAGCATTACAAATAGAACCATAAATTAACCACCTGCACATGTTCATAATGTCTTTTTTCTTGCCCAGCTTTCTGTATTGCAGTTCAAAAGTCAAAGGCATTGAATTTGATTCTTTATTTTTCTTATAAAAATATTTGAAAGAAAAACAACCATACTTATTTTTCCAAGTCCTGGAGACATTTCCCCATAAACAAAATAGGTATGTACTGTTCATCATTTCAATCATGTTCTCTCTCAGATAGGCACTGCAAATAAGAGTTATTCATCAGTAATAAATATATCAATGAATCACAAATTTACCTTATTGTTATCATTATTGGACCAATGAAGTGAAGAAAGGTAGGAAGTTCTTGTTGGAGCTGCATACATCCAGTTTTCAAACTCATATTGGATTTTCAACGTTTATCCATTTTTTCCATTCAACTGAACTGATTTTTCATCATCAGAAAAGACTTCTTGAGTGCAGGAAATTGATATTAGAGGACATTATAGGTCCTACATTTTTCCATTGGAACCTTCAGTTGATTTCGCGTATTATCAGAGATTTGTTGATACTAATTCATAAAATAATATAGAATTGATTAGGCAATTGATATAAAGTTCATGTCTTGTACTCAAGAGAAGGAAGAAGAGAAAATTAACGTAATTTGTTGAATGGTATTCATAAAATATGAAACCCCTTGAACACAATAACAAACATGACCTTGAATTACATCCTAAACTGGTTCAAATTTGCCCACCAGATGCCGTATCGGAATCGTCACCTTGCCAATTGCTTGCAGAGTTGTGGTGCCTTGTGCCGTCTATCGAATTGTGTCTAAATAGACAGGTAGAACTATCCAACTAGACAATGACGACTGTCTAGATAGACAGTAACAGCTGTTCAAATAGACAGTTTCAAGTGTCTGAAGAGACAGTTACAACTGTCTTAACAGATATCTACAAGTTTCTAAATGGATAGTTACAACTGTCTAAATATAAAGTTGAAATTATCTCAAGATACAGTTACAACTGTCCAATGTATGTGTCTAATAAAAATCGTTGAAGTGAGCCTTCTACGCTTTCGTAGGTACATGCCAGACAGGGAGTTCGATCCGGAACGCATAAAAAACGTCTCCACCGCCTGCGAAGGCCTCTGCAAATGGGTTAGAGCCATGGAGGTCTACGACCGCGTCATCAAAATCGTAGCCCCGAAAAAGGCCCGGCTAGCCGAGGCCGAGGCCGAACTGGCCTCCCAAATGGACACGTTGAACGAGAAGAGAGCGCAGCTTCAAGAAGTCGCCGATAAGCTGCAAGCGCTCAACGACGAGTTTGCGGCTGAGACGAAGAAGAAGAAGGACCTCGAGGACCAGATTTACATTTGCTCGCAGAAGTTGGACAGAGCGGAGAAGCTGATCGGGGGACTGGGAGGGGAAAAGGCGCGATGGTCGGAAGCTGCCAAGCAGCTACACAATTTGCTGGGGAACGTTATTGGGGATGTGCTGCTTTCGGCTGGGGCTATCGCCTACTTGGGAGCGTTCACTGTGGACTACAGGTAATTATTTTTTGCATTAATGTGACACATTTTAAAACTGAAGGGTTGTTACGTCTTACTTCACATCACTAGTTGTGTAAACTAATTGACTGGTGATGGAATGTTCATTTCAACACCAGTTACATAATAAAAATATGAATGGACGAATGCATTTTGTGCTGCTTCCTCGATATCACAAGTGACAAGCGAAGTCAATTTGCCTAGTAAATTTTGTACATAATCGGTAGAAATAATGTAGTACTTTTGAATTCTTGTAGGTTATGAGTTCTTGGGAATACTGCCATTGGCAAAGAATGCCGAAGCTTTGTCGTTCTTCAGACGTACGAGTGTTGGTAAAGTGTTGTTCGACATATCTTGACAATGGATGGGTGTACTGGCTGGGCTTGTCGAGTTTATCTGACTGGTATTGCTAGAGATAGGAATTATAGCAGATATTTCTGCACGTTGGAGTTCTACGGTGTTCTAATGAGGTCAAAGAACTAGTGAGTGTGGCATCACCCACCAGACGAATTACTCATTTCTGGATTGAATCTAAAGCATCAGCGTATGTGGGTGCCTTTCTAGAGAAAATGTAGGCTTGAGTTTTGGTGGCGTTGAATTCAACTAGGTTGTCGATACCCAGGGGAGGGGCCATGGGGCCATGGCCCCCCCCCTCGAGCACCTCATGGACATGTAAAAATGTAGGTATTTTGAATAAATGAAAAAATTAGTGTATGTCTTTATAGCTAGAAACTTCGCATCACCGGAATTGCGAATTTGTAATTACACTCTGCTGTGTGGCAAATATATTTTCGATACCATTGCCACTTAGTAATTTGCTCCAAACAAAAAACAAGCTAACGATGTTGTTAGTATCACTCTTCAGACGCTTCCAGATAAAAGGGATGATATTCTAAATACCTACTATCTAAGTATTTCGAATGCAGCCAAACAGAAATTGAAAGAACTGAATGTTGAATTTTCGATGCCGAGAATAACAGGAAGAATGGTCCATAGACAAAATACGGTTTCCCCGTCTCAGTGGATGACCATTACAGAATAACTGTTTTCATTCCAGTATTATCATTGATCTGAAAGAAGGAATATCAGAAAATGAATTGAATCTATACAACCTTCACCTTTGTGTGCCATCTCAATAACTGGAAACAAAACAGATGAGGAAATTTATGAGGTATGGGAAATATACTTGAACAGTTTTCGGGAGAATAATGAAATGTCCTTCCAGAAGATCGTTTCTGGAATGTATATATGGAAGAAAATGAGGGATATTAAGCAAAATATACCAAACAATGGTATAACTGCCCTGAAGGAATGTAACACACATTTGTTTCCTAACATAAACATCCTTCTGGAACTATTTTGTTGCCTACCTGTAAATGTTGCATCTTCTGAAAGAAGTTTTTCAACACTCAGAAAGCTGAAAAATTGGATAAGATCCAGAATGGTCCAAGACTGATTAAATGGATTGGCATTAATGCATATCAACAGGGGCATCTGCAGCAGTCTGAATGTTGATGATATCATCCAAAGATAAGCTAGGCAGAAGAATAGAAGACTGGAATTTGTTTTCTTTATTTTATATATTTTTATTTTTGTCTGTTTCATTTGTTTTATTTTTGAAGAGAAATATTTTCATTCACTTTTGTACCCAAGTTTTTCAACAGAAATATTTTTTCATTCACTTCTTTTATCCAATATGATTTATTACAGAATTCTACATACATTGATGGAAAATTTTTTTACACCAGTAATTTCGATGTTTTTTGAATGAAAAAGCATTTGTATCATATAATTTCTAACCTAACGCTAACCTTATTGAGCCGTGACTTTCTATGCCCCCCCCCCCCTCAAACATCGTCTGGATCTTCCCATGTCGATACCCCAGGCTGTAAGTTCAGCAAGATTGTCATTGATAGCGTTGTTCGTAAGTTCTCAGATCATTGAATGAAGTAGGAACAATGTTGATCCTTGTTGAACGCTAGTATAAAACTCATGTGGTGCTCGAACTACAAGTTTCCAAATCGACATGTTGAGTTTTTACACTGGTCCATCGGATTTTTCCTTTCGGGAAGGGTCAAATATCCTCGAGAGTATTGACGCTTTGCCACTAACTTGGATCGGTTTTAATCGCGGCACGTTTGGATATTCCCAAAGGGGACATTATCCCCTACCATTTGCTTTTTTTTTTAACTCGTTATCACATGACGGAAGTATGAATACGGAATAATGGCAGCAAATAAATCGCTGTACTGTGGATTTGACTCAGATTATGCGGTGGCACAGGTACTGTTCAATTGGTATCGGATGGCATTATTCTCATTTCGTTATCAAATCGCGAAATTGAGTATAAATTACCGCACAGGAAAGTGCAATTTTTCAATCATTTTGCACAGGATAGTGATTGGCACAGGTGTAGTTCTATAAAATACAATGTTGTAGGGTGGCCAACTAAGACTCCATAGTTCGATTTTTCTGTTGTCTTGAGAGATACAAAAAAAATTCATGTATCAAAATTGAAGTAATAACCGAGCTCCACATTTCAAAATTTCTTTGAAATACACAGGGTGTTCCGTAAGGTCACAGCACATCGAAGCTATGTTTTTTTCATTGGAACACCCTATATTTTATTTCATTTTTGAATTCTCCCGGAAGATCTGATTTTAACGACCCATCATACTTAGGGTCTAGCAGTGAAAGTTACTGACATATAGGGTGTGCAAAATCGAGATTTTCCAAGCTCAGGATTTTTTTCTGTCGAAACTGTTCATTATTCGTCAAAACGGTTTACATGTCCCTCCCTATCTCAACTTTTCACTCACTATCAATTGGTGTTCAATTGAAATTGATACAAGGTGGTCAAAAAATCTAAATTTATAATTTGTTCCAATTAAATGTCAATTGAACACCAATTGATAGTGAGTGAAAAGTTGAGATAGGTACATGTAAACCGTTTTGAAGAATAATGAACAGTTTCGACAGAAAAAAATCCTGAACTTGGAAAATCTCGATTTTGCACATCCTATATGTCAGTAACTTTCACTGCTAGACCCAAGTATGATACGTCGTTGAACTCAGATCTTCAGGGAGAATTCAAAAATAAATAAAATATAGGGTGTTCCAATGAAAAAACATAGCTTTGATGTGCTGTGACCTTACCGAACACCCTGTGTATTTCAATGAAATTTTGAAATGTGAAGCTCGGTTATCACTTTAATTTGAATGCAAAACTTTTTTTTGTATCTCTCAAGACAACAGAGGTATCGAACTCTGGATTCTTAGTTGGCCACCCTGTACATAACATTTCGTTATCAGATGATGGTTGAAATTTGCAGCTGGCTCTGTTACTAATAGGTATACGAATCATACGTACATTATAGGTATTCCCTTTCGTGCGCCCCAAGAGAAAAAAAAACGTCGATTCGATTATTGCCTACAACCCCATTACTCTATACTGGATTCGTCTACTTTGAATGTGTGAGATGATCCTTAAATCCAGTTTAAACTGGTCTTCTTGTTTGAGCCACTTATGATGTTTTGTTGCAATCATAATTTAGTCGTGAATTCGCGATAGAAAATAAGCGTACTCCACCTATCGGAGTTCTTGAAAGCTGTCAAAGTGGCCTGTTAACTTTGTTTTCGTTGGTTCACGTTTGTTTTTTGTTCGTGCTTATTGGTCATTACATCAAAAGAACCGCTCAGAAGTGTTATTTTCTATCGCGAATTACTAGGAATATTGTTCACAGTCGCTTATATAGAAAAGAAGTAAGTACGTGTGGTCTATTTAGATATTGCAATATTTTCAAAAATTTCACAAAACACTTTGAATTCAAATGAGGTGTTGAAATGGCTGACAAATGAAACAGTGACATTTATCTTAGTGACATTTACTGACATTTCATCGATATTCAATGACACATTTCAATCTATCTATGTCTTCATATCTACTATTGATTTCAACTAGTTTTTCCAAGAAATCAACTACCCTGGATCTATTCTGATCAAATATCAGTAAATAGTGAATTAAAAGTTGAGATTGAAACATGGGAGCCGTTTTGACCGATAATGAATAGTTTCGACACAAAAGAATCTTGAAGTTGAAAAATCTCGATTTTGAACACCCTATATCTCTGTAATCTTTTTTGATAGACCCCAAGTGTGAAATATCGATAAAATCAGCACTTCAGGGAGAATCTAAATATGCGTTTCATTTGAAATATCAATGTTGCTACTATTTTCTAGTAGAAGCGTCAACACTGCATTGTCGAATATATTTTAAATGAAGAGCATGCACATTTTCATGGATTTCTTCCAACTGATTCTCGATATAAAGATGGTGTAAGCTTGTCGTGACATATTATTTATTTATTTATTTATTTATTTATTGAACAAATAACTTCCAGACAGAATAGGCTCTGGTATAAGGAAGTACATAATTATATACCTATAGGTAAACAGCATCATTCAATATATATCAACAACAACTGTAAATTGGCAAACAAAGAATAATATTTGTAAAAAAAAAAAAAATGGCATGATTAATTTTATCCAGTCCGCTCAGAAATAATCAATTTTTTTACTACATTTTTGAATATACCTATATTTCTGCAATTTTTTATATTATCAGGTAGTTTATTGAATTCAGTTAACGCTGAATGAGTGAATCTTTTTTGTCCGATTAGGGAGCTAGCGGCGTCAAGATGAAGAAAGTTATATTGTCTAGTTTCATGATTATGAATTTCAGAATTCCGTATCAAAATAATATTCGACTTCAATTTTTTATTTATGATATTATATGATATTTTAAGAGTTTCAATTCTATATATTTCATCTAAAGAATACGTATTTGTTATTTCATACAATTGATTGGTTGGTGTATCAAATGGGAGACGATACAATACTTTTAACGATTTTCTATATAATGTTGATATTTTATTGAAATTATTTTTTGAACAAGATCCCCAAACATTTATTAAATAGTTGATACGACTCAGTATATGAGAGTAGAGAATCATGTTTGCAATTTTAATATCAAGTTTGGGACATCTTCTCAATGCACCAATAATTGGAGATATTTTTTTTGTCAGAACATCAATATGTTTGTCCCACTTCAACCTGTCATCAAACCAAATACCAAGATATTTTATCTGGTCAGTTTGTTTCAAGAGTTCATTTTTTATTTTAAGGTTGAGGTAAATTTTTTGTTTATTTTTTTGGTGAAAAATCATATATTCTGTTTTGTTAGTATTTATCGATGAAAGGTTAGATTGGAGCCATTTTTCAAATATTTTAAAGTCTTCATTTATCATATTTTCTAAATCTGAAGGATTCTTGCCTTCATATAAAAGTACTGTATCATCTGCATACACGCTGTATTGTTTGCAAATATGTGCACATTTTCACGTATGAGTGAAGTGAAACCTTTTCAAATGAAAGTTCCCCCACTCTGTATGTATCACATGTACATTTCTTCACAGGAGAGAACTGCTGAAGCAGTGGAACATCGAAACCCTCAAGCTGGGCATTCCCTGTTCGGACAATTTTTCTCTTGTCACCACCATGGGTGAACCGGTGGTGATCAGAGCGTGGAATATTGCCGGGCTGCCCGTAGATAATTACAGTGTGGAGAACGGGATTATATCGACAACAGCTAGAAGATGGCCTCTGATGATAGATCCACAAGGTACAAAATCGAGTTTTTCGTTTCAAATTAGTCTCTTCAAACTCATGAATTCTAGAATTCACATTTATTTTACTGAACCTCCACATGTGACATTATAGCTTGATAGGTTGATATTGAATCAATGGGAAGTTGCCTATATTGAGATTTTTATCTCACTGTGAAGTTTGTAAAATTTAATATACAGGGTGTTTCACAGGTAAAGGGAAATATTTCAATGGTAGATAGGGGTCACCAAGGTGGTTCTGAAAATATCATATTTGATAGGTCTTAGAGTTTTCATAACGGATATACAGGGCGATTTATCGATTTCGAATAACTATTCATTCGTCTATAAAAATTGAACTACCCAGTATATTTTTTTAAAATTTGGTATGGAGCTTAAACTTGGGACCTTGAATTCATTCACCTACCGGGCGAAGTGAAAATCCAGGTTCGGCTTCAGGAAAAATTTACATTTATTCGAAATATTAAAATAACACACTGTATGTAATAATTGACAAAGTTCATCGAAGGAATCGTGAAGAGGAGGAAAAACTGAACTGGATTTGATGCTTTTTGTTTTCCCGCCACCAATTCTCATCGTAACAATCATAAACAGGAAGCTAAAAGTATGTCAATTTCAAGAGTATTGAAATTATGAAACCACTTTCAATTATGATTATTTGATATATTCTTGTTAAATGATCGTTCGAAAGAACTTACTTAGTCTCACAGTCTTTATAACAGAGATACAGGCTGAATTATCACTCGTCCATAAGTATTAAACTACCCATCGCAGTAATATTTTCTCACAGAATGGAAATACAGGTTCAGCTTCAGGAAAAGTCTCATAGTCTTTATAACAGAGATACAGGGTGAATTATCGAATTATAATTCCGCCTGATAGGTTAATGAATCCATCGTCCCAAGTAAGCTACATACCATATTTGAGAAAATGTTACTGGGTAGTTTTATACTTATGGACGAGTGAATAATTATTCAAAACCGATAATTCACCCTGTATCTCCGTTTTAAAAACTGTGAGACTCAGTAAGTTCTTTCTAGCAATTTTTTGACTAAAATATATCGAATAATCATAATTGAAAGTGGTTTCATAATTTCAATACTCTTCAAATTGACATACTTTCAGCTTTCTGTTTATGATTGTTACGATGAGAATTGGTGGCGGGAAAACAAAAAGCATCAAATCGAGTTCAGTTTTTCCTCCTCTTCACGATTACTTTGATGAACTCTGTCAATTATTACATACAGTGTGTTATTTTAATATTTCGAATAAATGTGAATTTTTCCTGAAGCCGAACCTGGATTTTCTCTTCGCCCGATAGGTGAATGAATTCAACGTCCCAAGTTTAAGCTCCATGCCAAATTTTAGAAAAATATACTGGGTAGTTCAATACTTATAGACGAATGAATAATTATTCGAAATCGATAAATCGCCCTGTATCTCCGTTATGAAAACACTAAGACCTATCAAATATGGTATTTTCAGAACCACCTTGGTGACCCCTATCTACCATTGAAATATTTCCCTTTACCTGTGAAACACCCTGTATACGTATTTTTTCTTTTTTTCGTAAGATCAAATTTCACTTCAGAAAAAAATAAATAAAAGAGGAACTTGGCTCCTCCACCATTCCTATGACTTACTTTCTGAAAATCCACATTCACACAGAGTTGAAATACGATTCCCTGTGCCAGTACGACGTTGCCGATATCATCAATATGTCTAGATTTCCGGAAATTGTTCTTTGCATAATAACTATCATAGCAGCAATGGGATATACTAGGTTCTTCAATCCTACTTTGACAAGTATTATGAATAATTCCCATAAATCTCTCATTGGCTGAATGAAGTTGATTACTAATAAAGATAAATTATTATTTTTTGCGATACCTAGTATTTATAATTTATATATAATATCGTTATATTACAATATGTTATTCATAACTTGTCAGTCTTTTGTTTGCTAATGAATTCGTTCCTTGATAATACGGATCTATTTTTTAGGAATGTTGTGGATTAAATACTGACAGGCACAACAAGAGGAAGGAGCCATGGGTGTCGGCTTCATTCTGTTCTGACCGATGGCAGTAAATTAGGAAGGATAGTATCATTGAATGTAGCCGATAGAGATTCATTGATTCAATGATATTTTCGTTTAGGATCGAGCTCTATTCGAGATATTTCAATGCATAAATAACAAAACCATAACCTGTCAGAATGAAGCCAACTACCTTCTGCATTCCTGTTCCGACTGCATTTGTGGTTATGTATGTTTTTGTTTACCAGCTTTACTTCTTCATCTATTTTTTCATTCGTTTTTCATTCGTCAACTATTCGTTAGCTATTCGCTAGCTATATTCTTCACCATCAGCTATTTTCAGACTAGATTCACAATGCACGTCACAGTTTGCCGCCCCGAAAATTAGAAATTGCTTTAATTTGAAAATGAAAACGACTTGGACTTTCATCGGGCGCCATTCTGTACAGCGTGGACATAAAACTGGAGAGTTCCGAACTTATTTTATGAAAACCCATCTGAAGGAAACTTCCCCATTTATGACTAGGATTAGCTACGGAAAGAGCAAATTTGCTCTATGAGCTTGACACTTATTCTGAAGGTTAGGTTTACATCTACATTAGAAAAATATAGGTATATTCCAGCATTTTTCATAACTTTGTTCTTTCGTTTCGAGGTTCCGTAAACAAATTGCCTACTGTAGGTGACGTCACCAGGTACTTATGTCAGAGAATTGCGGTCTTTTTTATTGGTGGTACTAACAGGGTGACATCAAATACATTCAAGTCGAACATTGGTAAACAATATGTATTTCACATTGGAATAACTTTTATACAGTTCATTACCAAATGAGTTGAGAACTATACATGATGCATGAAGATCTATTATCAATCCTAAACAAATACCTTTTACAATTCAACAAATAAGTGACAGTATTTATTTATTTATTTATTGAAAATGTTACATGATTTGATTACTCAGGATTTAAATGTAATAACTTTCATCTCAAGAAAAAGTTATTTGTAATTCATCACAAAAGTACATTGAAATTCCCCTATTTTGATCTTCCTTCAGTAACATAGCTCAAGGTTGTGTCATTTTCTTTTGTTGCTGAAGTGCTGAAGAATTTGAGAAAATGTGTTCAGTTGTCTAATTATACTTTTGATAATTTACATATTTTCTTCTCAGATCTCACCTCTATTTATCTGCTGTGCGAGAATGTGCCTGCTTATTCAACTTCAAACTTCCATAATTTTTAAAAAGTCATGATTCAGGATACTTCACTAATTTTGTGTTAAGATTTTTTTATAGCTGAACTCTGCGGCACTCTTTCCAAATTCCTTTCATGAGTGTCACCTCTGCAGACTAGCAGTTTACTTATCATTTATTTCATTGCAACTTTATTAATTTATAATATTTATTAACAATAATAACAAAACAACCTCATATTTGTTTGAAATGTTCAAACTGTCAAAGCTGGCTGATTCGAATTTCAATCGTCAAGCGTCAAGAATGTCATATAGAATTGTCTGATTGGTCCAAATCCCCTCTTCTCCAACATGTGACCTGATTGGTCTCAGCCAAATGTTGGGCTAGTGTTCGGGAGCTGTCTACAGGCATTCGTTTTCTGCTGCGACATCATCTCTCGTTAACTGAACTAGCACTAAAGCTAGCAGGGTAAACTAATCCGAAGTAAACATATCCATTGTTGAAGAAAGATGATTTAAATAATTATAGACCAATTTCTGTTCTCCCGATCTTTTCCAAAATTTCAGAAAAAATTATGAATAACCGTCTAATAAATTATCTTGAGAATAATGGCCTATTGTTTAGTGAACAATATGGATTTCGTAGGTCAAAAGACACAGAGGTAGCTGTGATGGATGTCATTTCAGATATTCAGTTACGAATAGATGACAATGACAAATGCGGCATTCTGTCTCTGGATCTCTGTAAGGCCTTTGACACTGTAAATCATAATATTTTATCGACTAAATTATCATCAATAGGTGTCAGAGGCAAAATTCATGATTGGTTCCAAAATTATTTGAAGAATAGGAAACAGTATGTTGATGTGAATAATACTTGTAGTTCCTTGATGAATATTACATGTGGTGTACCGCAAGGATCAGTTTTGGGGCCAATTTTATTTTTAATCTATATCAACTCAATATCTACTTTAAAATTGAAAGGAAAACTAAAATTATTTGCAGATGATACAACAATAATTTAAACTTCAAAAGATTTCAACGATATCAATAATGATATTAAAAATGATTTGAAACAAATATCATCTTGGCTAGTGACCAATAAGTTGACTCTTAATTATAGTAAATCTACGTATATGTACATCTCAAAAAGAAAAACGGATATATTGAATAATACCCCAATATGTTTTAATTACAAATCCATTGAATATAAAAATGTAACAAAATTTTTAGGTCTATATATAGATGAACAACTATCGTGGACTCTACATATAGATCAATTGAGAAAAAAATTGAATCCTATTGCTGGTATTATATAAAATTCGAAATTTCATTCCTGTTAAATACCTAAAGAGTATTTATTTCTGTCTTTTTTATTCAAATATACAATATCTAATATCTATTTGGGGAAGTACAAATATTTCACGTTTGAAGCCACTCATGAAATTACAAAATAAAACAATAAAGTGCATTTTCAATTTACCTTTTTTAGAATCAACTGCGAATCTATACAAACCTAAAGACTTGCTGAATCTAGTTTCATTATATAAACTCAAAATTTGTTGTTTTATTCATTTTGTCAGGAAGGAATTGAAAATATCGAATTTGAATTTTAATGAAGTTAATACGATTCACGCCCATGAAACAAGGCAATTCAATTTATTGATAGCAAATAATTATAAGTCAAATTTTGGTAAACAATCAATATTCCATAATGGAATAATTTTGTATAACTCCTTACCTAATGAGTTGAAAAATATAGAAGAAGCAGAAAAATTTAAAATGAAATTGAAGAAATATCTGTTCAGTAAACTTATTTAATAGTACTAATCATTCACAATTTGATTACTTGTAATGGATTATGATATTTTCATTTTATATTTTATTATAATTCTTTTTTTTTTTTAGGAAAAACAATAATTGTGCAATTATTATTGTTTCGATTTATTATGTTTTATATGTATGTTTTGTTGTATATATCCCTATTATAAACAATAATGTTTCTTGGGGTAATAAAGACAATCAATCAATCAATATGCATACGTCGAATGTTTGTGTTCCTTATTGAACCAATGTATTTTCCACATGCCACCCCTAGGCCAAGCAAACAAATGGGTGAAGAACATGGAGAAGTACAACCGACTCCAAATAATCAAACTAACGGACACGAACTACGTGAGGGTACTAGAGAACGCCATCACTTTCGGCACTCCCGTCCTGCTCGAGAACATCAACGAAGAAATCGACGCCATCTTGGATCCGGTGCTCGTTAAGAACGTGTTCAAGTCGCAGGGCGTGTGGTACCTCAAACTCGGCGACAATGTTCTGGAGTATTCCTTCGACTTTCGCTTCTTCATAACGACGAGGCTGAGGAATCCGCACTATTTGCCTGAGATAGCCGTCAAGGTTTGTATAAAAAAAAAATAGAAAGCAGTATGTTGAAGTGAATGATACTTATTGTGGCTCACTGAAGAATATCACATGTGGAGTACCGCAAGGATCGGTTCTGGGACCAATTTTATTTTTGATTTATATTAATTCAATATCAACTCTGAACTTGCAAGGAAAGCTGAAATTATTTGAGGATGATACAACATTGATTTATATATCGAAAGAATTAAATGATATCGAACGGGATATCAAAAGTGATTTGGAAAACATATCATCTTGGATGCAAATTCATGAGTTGACTCTGAATTATAACAAATCTCATATATGTATATCTCAAAGAGATTAATTGATATTTCGAATAATGCTAACTTTCAACAATAGATTCATTAAATATACAGACGTGAAAAAATTTTCAGGTTTCTATATTGACCAAGAATTATTATTTACTAAAAACATGTAGACCATTTGAGGAATGAAATAAATCCGATCATAGTCATTTTATTCAAAATCCGAAATATCTCATAAAATACTTGAAATGTATTTACTTTTGTCTCATTTATTCAAATTTGCAATATTTAATTTCTATTTGGGGGAGTAAAAATTTTTCACGCCTAAAACCACTAATGAAATTACAAAGGAAACAGAACCAACGGTATAAATTTATACAAACCTAGACATTTTCTGAACCTGATTGCGTTATATAAACTTAAAATATGTTGTTTCATTAATTTTGCTAGGAATAAATTGAAAACATCAAAATTAGCTTTTACTGAAGTCAATACAGTCCATAGTTATGGGACTAGACAATTGAATTACTTGATAGCAAATACATTCGAGTAGAACATTGGCTCATGGTAGGCATGGCATTCGTTGATATTTTGACGTTTGTGGAATATTAACCATTCAAGAACACGTGATTTTGACATTGTTTCTTGAGGGGCACACAAACTATCTGTTAAGTTACCTTTGATGAGCATAGCCCTGGCCATACCTGAAACATCCACAATATAATAACAGTTTCACCAAACGAAATTATGAACATCTTCTGAGCAAAAAGGGCCCATCGGGGCCTACTTGCTTGGCTACAACCTCCCCACCTACTACGACTAGTACCCAAGAATATCATGAAAAATGCAGTCATGGCTTCGATTAATTTATTGACGAAGAAATCCAGACTCTATATGGGTCTGTTGATAGCAACCGTAGCCACGGTATTATAAAGCAGTAATGGACAAGTGAAAAATAAACGCACTTTATACGTGACACGTCAAAAGTAATTACTAGATTTCATTAAACTACGTTTTTTATGTTACCCTAGAAATTCTATTCAGTAGGGGGCGGTATCTATGAGCGATAATTTGAACTATTTTTTGTTGAGTAGCAAAGGGTAGAGATCGGTAATGCAGAATAAATTCGAAGTTTATTTTTAGATTTTAAATGTATGAAGGAATATCGCATCGCAGCCGGATTGAAATATTTTCATTATTTCAAAGTGAAGATATAAAAGTAAGTGATTTTCCTGCTTTCTAGGCATTTCAGCTACTTGCAGATAGATGGACTCGAGCAGATTCCGAGAGTATAGACAAATCGGTCATATTTTGTTTAGTTTAGCTAGCACAGCCTACGGAACTAGCCAAGAACTAATTTCAAATTTGGCGTCAACATTTTACGTGGAGGTGGATCGTCTTGTTAGTGTAAATAATCAATCATAGTTCTAGTTCAGTCTTCTGAGCTAGATAAAATCTAGTTCCATTCTTCACAGCCCACAGAGTGAGTGATCACTGGGACCAATAACCGTGTGCTCTCAGTAGACATGTATGACGGCCTTGTGCATTTCACTAGCTAACTAATTTTTTGTATTTCCGAGAGCATCTTTTGTCGTTTGACATCTAGGGAGCCGATAATCAGTATGACCAGATCCACAGAATGGTCTGCATACAGCCTGCGAAATTCGAAAAGATGTTCGGGTCGGCTGGCGCTGAAAACCCAATCACGACAGCAGCTTTGGTTTGATGGTCGAGGATGACTACATCAGACTTGTTAGCTTTTATTTGCCTGAGGGTGGGGAATGAGAAGTTCCAATTCTACACCTCTCATTCTACACAACGGACTCAATATCCCCCGGAGCATAGAGCAGCATTGTGGTCTCGTCTATTCCGTACGAGTGCCTCAAATGATAGGAAAGCACTCGCAATGCCGTACTGCATACATACATGCATACATCTCCGACGCTACGCAGAGTCGTGCTGAAAAAAATCCAGTGACTACTCCCCACAGCCTGTGGGGTGAATAATCACTGGGACCAAGAACCGTGTGACCGGAGTTAACGCAATGATCCAAGTATGACGGCCTTCTGCATTCCACCAACCAGGATGTATGCCATATCGCGGCACGCTGGGATTTTCTGGATTTCCGAGAGCAGCGTATGTCGTGTGCCTCCTAGGGAGCCGATTATCAGGATGACCAATTCTACAGAATGGTCTGGATAAAGCCTGCGGAGTTTGAAGAGAAGATTTCGATATTTAGTCCGTTTCTCCTCCTCCTTCAAAACGATGTTCGGTTCGGCTGGCGCCGAAAACTCGATCACGAACATCGCTTTGGTTTGGTGGTCGACGAGGACTACATCAGGCTTGTAAGTTTGTATTTGCCTGAGGGTGGGGAATGAGAAGTTCCAATAAATTCGGCACCTCTCATTCTCCACAAGGAACCAATATTCCCCGGAGCATAGGCACTGGGGTCTCGTCTATTCAATACGAGTGCCTCAAATGGTAGTAGAGCACTCACAATGCCGCATTGTGTCAATGGATATAGGCCGAGACTGCATACACCGTGCAAGAAGACATGTTATTATTATTATTATTATTATTATTATTAAGGTGACCCTGGTGAACTTCATGATCACGCCGCAAGGGCTGCAGGACCAGCTGTTGGGGATCGTCGTGGCCAGGGAGAAGCCCGAGTTGGAGGAGAAGAAGAACGCGATGATAGTCGAAAGTGCCAATAACAAGAAGATGCTCAAAGAGATCGAGGACAAGATTTTGGAGGTATACATTTTTGATTAGCTGTTCACATTGAATGAGATTTCATAGTGGAAAATACTATTCCATCTGATACGTTGTGGTGATGAAGCCGTTCCATAGCTGCATTGGTTTCACCATTTTCGTTCTGAATGAAAATGAAAATCTAGTCAGTAGAGTAAGTGAGAGATATAGTATTGCCTGTTCATTGAAAAAAAAAATCGCCAAAATCGCCCTTAGTGTAGCTAGCCTCTTTCAAGGTATGTTAGTCGATGTATCGAGGTTAGGAGTTGGTTGGTTTGGAAATTTAAGTTTTTGAGGTATTCTCAATCGTTTTTCCAAATTGCACATCTTTTAAGATATGTTGCTCCTCTCCCAAGGTATGTAAGTCAATGTGCATACAGTCATTATGTTTCTATCATCTTGACCTATTTTTCTGTGGGAAAATCAAGGTGAAGAATTGAGTGGTTTGAAAATTTTATTTTTTGAGGTATTTTCAATCGTTGGTTCCAAATTGCTCATCTTCTAAGGTATGTTGCTCCTCTCCCAAGGTATGTAAGTGAATGTGTATACAGTCATTCTTTTTTTATCATCTCGACCTATTTTTCTGTGGAAAAATCGAGGTGAAGAATCGGTTGCTTTGAAAAGTAGGTTTAGTAAAATGAGTGGAATCATATTTTGAAATAGAGGTCCCTGGTTTACCAAAAATATCATCGTTCCAATAATGAACAGACAATTATACCTCGCCTCATTTAGAACGACAATGGTTCACTGCTCAACGAACTGATTTTTCCTATTTTGAAATCCCACCAATCTTACTAACTAAATGTGTTCACCCAACGGCAATGGATAGGTACTAACTACTCGAAATCGAAGTCTGTCACAGCCCAAAGCCCAAGTTGAACAAATTATACTATCTGGATACTAATGCTGCTATTTTGCACACCAGCACAGACTCTGTAGGCTATGTATAATTCCATATTTATAGAATGTAAGAAAATCGGTATTCTGCCAGTGCGATTTCGAGATATTTGTAGGTAATAATATGGATGTTATAAGAAATCTTCATATATGTTAGAATCTATCGTTCTAGAAGAAGCTGGAAGGTATAAGAAATGAAATTGTAACTCATTAATAATGGTATCAGTCTAATTTAAGAATTATATAACCATAAAAAAGGGCAACTAGTCAATGATACAATTGATATATACAAATTGCCATTCTGAAATATCCATTTTCTTTAGAATCTATCAAAACCAGCACTGAAATGTGAGGTTAATGAGTAGCTATGAAGTTAGCCATCTATCAATATTCAGTTAGAGGACAGGCGTAAATTCCGACAAGGGGATGAGTGTTTGGCAAAATACCATTCTCTGTTAAATTAACAGAATCTGTAATTATGTGTGTTACAGAGTCTGTATCCTACATACCTTACATAAATATTTGAGTTACATAGATGGTCGGCAAGATAGGAGCATAAGAGGTATAGGATGAACAGAGTTTTCTGTTACCCTAGATCTCTCAGTTATTGTTGTTGTTGTTTAATTACCCCCAGAAACATCTTTGTTTATAAAAGGGATATCTAATCATATTGAACAAAATCAATTCAAGTATCCAATTAAGAATATAGTGCAGTACAGTCTCGCTCCTGCTGACAATTGGGTCCACTCTGTTCATCCTATATCTCTTAGTTAAGAGATCTAGTTCAGTAAGCAGCTATGAAGTTGAATTGTATTTTCAGGTGCTGTCATCATCTGAAGGAAATATCTTGGAAGACGAAACGGCCATCAAGATCCTATCGTCCAGCAGAGTTCTGTCCGAGGAGATCCAAGAGAAACAGAAAGTGGCGGTGGTGACCGAAGTGGAGATCGACAACGCCCGAAACGGATACGTCCCCGTCTCCAAGCATTCTTCCCTTCTGTTTTTCTGCATCTCCGATTTGGCGAATGTCGATCCGATGTATCAGTACTCTCTGACGTGGTTCATCAATCTCTACAATCAATCGATCACTAACAGCAGGAAATCATCGATGTTGGAAGAGAGGCTGCACTTTTTGAACGATCATTTCACCAACAGCATATACAGGAACGTTTGTAGGTCGCTGTTTGAGAAAGACAAGCTTATTTTCTCTTTCGTTTTGACTGTTGGGATTTTGAGAGCGGGGGTGAGTATGTTCACTGCTTATTTCAATCTTTTTCGCACTATGTTTGCACTTCTTATCGATCCTTGTCTCCAAACACTTCCCTTCTGTTTTTCTTCATCTGCGATTTGGCCCATGTCGATCCGATGTATCAGTACTCTCTGACGTGGTCCATCATTCTCTACAATCAATCGATCACTGACAGCAGGAAATCTTCGATGTTGGAAGAGAGGCTGCACTTTTTGAACGATCATTTCACCAACAGCATATACAGGAACGTTTGTAGGTCGCTGTTTGAGAAAGACAAGCTTATTTTCTCTTTCGTTTTGACTGTTGGGATTTTGAGAGCGGGGGTGAGTATGTTCACTGCTTATTTCAATCTTTTTCGCACTATGTTTGCACTTCTTATCGATCCTTGTCTCCAAACACTTCCCTTCTGTTTTTCTTCATCTGCGATTTGGCCCATGTCGATCCGATGTATCAATACTCTCTGACGTGGTCCATCATTCTCTACAATCAATCGATCACTGACAGCAGGAAATCTTCGATGTTGGAAGAGAGGCTGCACTTTTTGAACGATCATTTCACCAACAGCATATACAGGAACGTTTGTAGGTCGCTGTTTGAGAAAGACAAGCTTATTTTCTCTTTCGTTTTGACTGTTGGGATTCTGAGAGCGGGGGTGAGTAAGTTCACTGCTTATTTCAATCTGTTTCGTCCTATAATTTCACTTCTTATCGATCCTTGTCTCCAAACACTTTCCTTCTGTTTTTCTGCATCTCCGATTTGGCGAATGTCGATCCGATGTATCAGTACTCTCTGACGTGGTTCATCAATCTCTACAATCAATCGATCACTAACAGCAGGAAATCATCGATGTTGGAAGAGAGGCTGCACTTTTTGAACGATCATTTCACCAACAGCATATACAGGAACGTTTGTAGGTCGCTGTTTGAGAAAGACAAGCTTATTTTCTCTTTCGTTTTGACTGTTGGGATTTTGAGAGCGGGGGTGAGTAAGTTCACTGCTTATTTCAATCTGTTTCGTCCTATAATTTCACTTCTTATCGATCCTTGTCTCCAAACACTTTCCTTCTGTTTTTCTGCATCTCCGATTTGGCGAATGTCGATCCGATGTATCAGTACTCTCTGACGTGGTTCATCAATCTCTACAATCAATCGATCACTAACAGCAGGAAATCATCGATGTTGGAAGAGAGGCTGCACTTTTTGAACGATCATTTCACCAACAGCATATACAGGAACGTTTGTAGGTCGCTGTTTGAGAAAGACAAGCTTATTTTCTCTTTCGTTTTGACTGTTGGGATTTTGAGAGCGGGGGTGAGTATGTTCACTGCTTATTTCAATCTTTTTCGCACTATGTTTGCACTTCTTATCGATCCTTGTCTCCAAACACTTCCCTTCTGTTTTTCTTCATCTGCGATTTGGCCCATGTCGATCCGATGTATCAGTACTCTCTGACGTGGTCCATCATTCTCTACAATCAATCGATCACTGACAGCAGGAAATCTTCGATGTTGGAAGAGAGGCTGCACTTTTTGAACGATCATTTCACCAACAGCATATACAGGAACGTTTGTAGGTCGCTGTTTGAGAAAGACAAGCTTATTTTCTCTTTCGTTTTGACTGTTGGGATTTTGAGAGCGGGGGTGAGTATGTTCACTGCTTATTTCAATCTTTTTCGCACTATGTTTGCACTTCTTATCGATCCTTGTCTCCAAACACTTCCCTTCTGTTTTTCTTCATCTGCGATTTGGCCCATGTCGATCCGATGTATCAATACTCTCTGACGTGGTCCATCATTCTCTACAATCAATCGATCACTGACAGCAGGAAATCTTCGATGTTGGAAGAGAGGCTGCACTTTTTGAACGATCATTTCACCAACAGCATATACAGGAACGTTTGTAGGTCGCTGTTTGAGAAAGACAAGCTTATTTTCTCTTTCGTTTTGACTGTTGGGATTCTGAGAGCGGGGGTGAGTAAGTTCACTGCTTATTTCAATCTGTTTCGTCCTATAATTTCACTTCTTATCGATCCTTGTCTCCAAACACTTTCCTTCTGTTTTTCTGCATCTCCGATTTGGCGAATGTCGATCCGATGTATCAGTACTCTCTGACGTGGTTCATCAATCTCTACAATCAATCGATCACTAACAGCAGGAAATCATCGATGTTGGAAGAGAGGCTGCACTTTTTGAACGATCATTTCACCAACAGCATATACAGGAACGTTTGTAGGTCGCTGTTTGAGAAAGACAAGCTTATTTTCTCTTTCGTTTTGACTGTTGGGATTTTGAGAGCGGGGGTGAGTAAGTTCACTGCTTATTTCAATCTGTTTCGTCCTATAATTTCACTTCTTATCGATCCTTGTCTCCAAACACTTTCCTTCTGTTTTTCTGCATCTCCGATTTGGCGAATGTCGATCCGATGTATCAGTACTCTCTGACGTGGTTCATCAATCTCTACAATCAATCGATCACTAACAGCAGGAAATCATCGATGTTGGAAGAGAGGCTGCACTTTTTGAACGATCATTTCACCAACAGCATATACAGGAACGTTTGTAGGTCGCTGTTTGAGAAAGACAAGCTTATTTTCTCTTTCGTTTTGACTGTTGGGATTTTGAGAGCGGGGGTGAGTATGTTCACTGCTTATTTCAATCTTTTTCGCACTATGTTTGCACTTCTTATCGATCCTTGTCTCCAAACACTTCCCTTCTGTTTTTCTTCATCTGCGATTTGGCCCATGTCGATCCGATGTATCAGTACTCTCTGACGTGGTCCATCATTCTCTACAATCAATCGATCACTGACAGCAGGAAATCTTCGATGTTGGAAGAGAGGCTGCACTTTTTGAACGATCATTTCACCAACAGCATATACAGGAACGTTTGTAGGTCGCTGTTTGAGAAAGACAAGCTTATTTTCTCTTTCGTTTTGACTGTTGGGATTTTGAGAGCGGGGGTGAGTATGTTCACTGCTTATTTCAATCTTTTTCGCACTATGTTTGCACTTCTTATCGATCCTTGTCTCCAAACACTTCCCTTCTGTTTTTCTTCATCTGCGATTTGGCCCATGTCGATCCGATGTATCAGTACTCTCTGACGTGGTCCATCATTCTCTACAATCAATCGATCACTGACAGCAGGAAATCTTCGATGTTGGAAGAGAGGCTGCACTTTTTGAACGATCATTTCACCAACAGCATATACAGGAACGTTTGTAGGTCGCTGTTTGAGAAAGACAAGCTTATTTTCTCTTTCGTTTTGACTGTTGGGATTCTGAGAGCGGGGGTGAGTAAGTTCACTGCTTATTTCAATCTGTTTCGTCCTATAATTTCACTTCTTATCGATCCTTGTCTCCAAACACTTTCCTTCTGTTTTTCTGCATCTCCGATTTGGCGAATGTCGATCCGATGTATCAGTACTCTCTGACGTGGTTCATCAATCTCTACAATCAATCGATCACTAACAGCAGGAAATCATCGATGTTGGAAGAGAGGCTGCACTTTTTGAACGATCATTTCACCAACAGCATATACAGGAACGTTTGTAGGTCGCTGTTTGAGAAAGACAAGCTTATTTTCTCTTTCGTTTTGACTGTTGGGATTTTGAGAGCGGGGGTGAGTATGTTCACTGCTTATTTCAATCTTTTTCGCACTATGTTTGCACTTCTTATCGATCCTTGTCTCCAAACACTTCCCTTCTGTTTTTCTTCATCTGCGATTTGGCCCATGTCGATCCGATGTATCAGTACTCTCTGACGTGGTCCATCATTCTCTACAATCAATCGATCACTGACAGCAGGAAATCTTCGATGTTGGAAGAGAGGCTGCACTTTTTGAACGATCATTTCACCAACAGCATATACAGGAACGTTTGTAGGTCGCTGTTTGAGAAAGACAAGCTTATTTTCTCTTTCGTTTTGACTGTTGGGATTTTGAGAGCGGGGGTGAGTATGTTCACTGCTTATTTCAATCTTTTTCGCACTATGTTTGCACTTCTTATCGATCCTTGTCTCCAAACACTTCCCTTCTGTTTTTCTTCATCTGCGATTTGGCCCATGTCGATCCGATGTATCAGTACTCTCTGACGTGGTCCATCATTCTCTACAATCAATCGATCACTGACAGCAGGAAATCTTCGATGTTGGAAGAGAGGCTGCACTTTTTGAACGATCATTTCACCAACAGCATATACAGGAACGTTTGTAGGTCGCTGTTTGAGAAAGACAAGCTTATTTTCTCTTTCGTTTTGACTGTTGGGATTCTGAGAGCGGGGGTGAGTAAGTTCACTGCTTATTTCAATCTGTTTCGTCCTATAATTTCACTTCTTATCGATCCTTGTCTCCAAACACTTTCCTTCTGTTTTTCTGCATCTCCGATTTGGCGAATGTCGATCCGATGTATCAGTACTCTCTGACGTGGTTCATCAATCTCTACAATCAATCGATCACTAACAGCAGGAAATCATCGATGTTGGAAGAGAGGCTGCACTTTTTGAACGATCATTTCACCAACAGCATATACAGGAACGTTTGTAGGTCGCTGTTTGAGAAAGACAAGCTTATTTTCTCTTTCGTTTTGACTGTTGGGATTTTGAGAGCGGGGGTGAGTATGTTCACTGCTTATTTCAATCTTTTTCGCACTATGTTTGCACTTCTTATCGATCCTTGTCTCCAAACACTTCCCTTCTGTTTTTCTTCATCTGCGATTTGGCCCATGTCGATCCGATGTATCAGTACTCTCTGACGTGGTCCATCATTCTCTACAATCAATCGATCACTGACAGCAGGAAATCTTCGATGTTGGAAGAGAGGCTGCACTTTTTGAACGATCATTTCACCAACAGCATATACAGGAACGTTTGTAGGTCGCTGTTTGAGAAAGACAAGCTTATTTTCTCTTTCGTTTTGACTGTTGGGATTTTGAGAGCGGGGGTGAGTATGTTCACTGCTTATTTCAATCTGTTTCGTCCTATAATTTCACTTCTTATCGATCCTTG